TTTATTTACTTTTTGCTTTTCATTTTCTGCTTCGATCAACGCATGATCGCGTTCAGACATAATGTTTGCTAATTCGCGATGTAGATCATCGCGTTCTTGACCAAAGCGTTGGCTGGAATCGTCTTTTTCTTTGGTGTGTTGTCGAATGATTTCTTCACGTGATGTTTCTAATTCCTGACGAATCTTTTCTCTTTCCCGTGTCATACGATCAACATCATCATCATGAGCTTGTTTGTGCTGACGAAGAGATGTGTCGTGATCTTGTTCTAATTTGGTCAAACGTTCTTGCAATTGATCACGTGTGCGCGCGGATTTCTCAATTTCAGCATTCAATTCAGCATGGAGACGTTGAATTTCATTTTGAAGTTGTTCTTTACGCAATAATAATTCTTGATTTTCACCTTCTAACTGTTCGCGTTTAACATCGAGTTGACTGGCGACGGCTTGAGCTTCGTAGAGAGCTGATTCTAGAGCTTCTTTGCTACAAAAGAAAAGGCAACAGTGACAAGATTGAAGTTGGAAATGAAGAAAATAACTGAAACGTACTCTGAACGTAATGCACTGATGGTCTAAAATATACGAGAAACAAAGCAGATAAGAATGAGAAAGAGAGATGACAATTTGTGCATACCGAATTCAAAGTTTGATTGTCGCGTTCAGAACCAGTTAGATCGATGACAAGATTACCACGTTCTTTGGTTAAGTCTTCTTTTTCTTTGTTCAAACGAATATTGTGATCACTTAACCGTTCGATATCTTTTCGAGCAGCAATCAAATCTTCTGCCAATGTGTTTTTCAATCGAGTCATCTAATAAGAAAGCAAAGATAAATAAACATATTTGCAATCTTTTCAAAATAGATCGATCAAGTTTTACTTGTTGAAATTGCTCAACAACATCAGCTCGTTCTTTATTGGCTGCGCTGAGTTCTTCTTCGATTTGTTGACGACTAACTTCAGTTAGTTGAAGACGGTGAAGAAGTGCTAGAAGAAACAGATATTAACAAATTCGCCTCTCACAGATGCGCTGGAAAATTCTTTCTGATAGAGATCAATCCATTTGAATTACTTACTATCTCGTTCATTCTCAACATCGATCTTTTCTTGTTCGACTTTGACTAATTCCTAAACATCACAGTTTCTAACGATTGATATATGTCAAGGATTTCAATTACTTGTCGAAGTGTTGATTTGTCTTGTTCAGCATCAGATTTTTCATTAAGAATAACATTCTTTTCTTGTTCGATCTAGCACATAGTGCAGACAAAAATGAAAACAATTTTCCAATTGATATTTTACATACCAAGAGAATAATTTTATTCAGTTCAATCTTATCTTGAGCAAGACCTTCGTTAAGTGCCTGAACTTTACAGAGAAGATCTCGTAAAGCTGCACCTTCACTGCGTTCTTTGCTTAGGTCAAGTTCGACTTCTGCACGATAGAGTTCCGATCGTGACAATGCATCAGCTAAATGAACAAGAGTTTGCGTACCAATCAGTCTGACAACACTTCGACTTACATAGAACAAGTTTTTCTTGTGATAAGACATCCTTTGCTAGTTTTTCTGCTTGGTAATGTTCGCGTAAATCGGAGACATCTTTCTTCAATCTTGAAAGTTGACTTTCAAGATTTTCGATCACTTTGATACAACGTTCATTTTCTTTCACTTGACGAATACGATCTTTTTGTAGATCTTCTTTTTCTTCTTCGAGTATGTCGCGTTGACGTTGCAGCTCCGTATTTGCTTGATGTAACCGTTCACAATCGGAGCGCAACGTTTCAATTTGAGAGTTCAATGTCTAAACGCAAACAGATACCGATATTCTATGAAGACAGAAGTATACGACGCTTACAATGCGAATCTTCTCCATATTCGATCGTTCGTGATTTGATGTTTCAAGAGCTGTTTTCGAACGATCACGATCTTGAGCAGTCGAATCAAATTGCCGACGTAAATCTTCGATTTGTGCTTTGTAACTCGCAGATTGTTGTTCGAAGAGACGTCGTTCAGTTTCGCTTTGATTCAATTGATCTTTCAACAATTGAACTGCATCACGTGTGCTTGATAATTTCGTTTGTAAATCATGCACCTTTAAATACACAACATCAGACCAGTTTCGAAATGCAAACTGCTAAATAAAAGTGTCCTACCTGAACTTGACGTTTACTTAACGCAGCATGAACAGCACTGAAGGTACTATCAGCAAATGATGGTGAAAGACTTCGAGAATGTACCAATGCTGTTTGAGTTAACCGTTGAGGTGAATGAGATCGAGGTGAACGAAGACTAAACCGAAAAGAATGTCCAAATTAGATCGGGGTGCAAATTGTCAAGCCCATCATCATGTAACCTTGACTTATCTTTCACTCTTATTAGATAAACATATTGAAAAGTAAGATGCATGATTGCCTCTAGCACCTATTCTTTGAAATACATTGTTACCTAATTCGCTTCCTTGATTACATAAAGACGTGTCAAGTTTTTTGATTGAAAAGACAACTAAGATTGTTCTATATAAAATTTCTTTTCTTTTTCTCAAGTACTTTTAGTCATCGTACGATGATTTCTAGAGCAAAAGAAAAACAGTTAATGATTGATAAAAAAACTAAATGTTTGTGTATTTATCTGATGTTAAAATCGATTGCATTGTTTTTTCAACATAATGGAAAATAAATATTGTCTTTCTAAGAGCAGACGTTTGAACAAAACAAAATAAATCAATTCGCCAAGAGCACTCGAACATATTTTCGGCTTAGACGGTTTTTAAATCTACCTTATTTTCAACATTCTTTCAAGGTTATGTCGGCTCATTTGTAGAAAGCCTTGAAAATGCTTGCTAACGTTTTAGGACATCGTAAAACTGGATTTTTTTCAAACATATTTTGTTCTTGTCGTTTATGTTAACTAAAAGAAACCATTGCGGCTAATAGGAAAATATATTTTGTCATTGAGGACACAAAAATGTAATTAAACTGGTATAATACGAAAACGTACTTCTCCCTCTTCGGTTTCGCGATGTTTGTTTTCTAGTTATGACGAAAAAGAAATTCGTAATAACATACCGAGTATAGCTTCGTTCAGGTGATTCGAATCGATCGGTACCTCTTAATGGTGATAATTGGCGTGGTGATGTTCGTCCAGTGACATCTCCGTCGTATTGATGATCTTCATCATTGATGACCGCTTGGGCAATGTCTCGCAGACGTTGATGAAGACGCTCGGTATCAGCATTGATCTCCCGAGTACGTGTTTCCAAAGTAGAAGAAGAGCTTTCCTGGAAGAAAAAAATTCATTATTGACACTGTCCTTCACGCGACTCTCTGAGCGAACCTCACTACTATTAAAGGACGTTCTCAAAAGAAGAAAGTGAAAAGTAACTGATGATCTTGTGCGAGTGACTGCTTCAGTGATTTTTTTTCTAGCAATTGACTAACGATTTCCGTCATATGCATAGTTACGGAAGATCAATCGCATTTGATTTAATTATTCTGATTGAGTTTCTGTAAATGATTCTCATACCTGTGTTCGTCGATACATTCAGACGATGGTCAGACAAGAACCGCAAACCGAAGAAAACGATGTTGATGAATGAATGAAAACGAAATGCGAGAAAAAGAAAAGAGAAGAGAGGAGAAGAGAGGAGAGGAGAAGAGAGGAGAGGAGAAGAGAGGAGAGGAGAAGAGAGGAGAGGAGAAGAATTCAAGCTGAAGGCGGTGAGTACTTATGCTTACCACACGACGACGAGAAAGAGACTTTTTTCTTGCGCTCTCTCTCTCTCTCTCTCTCTTCTCTTTTATAAAATATTTTCAAACAAAAAAAAAAGAAGAAAGAATGCTAAACAGCAACAGCCGTTGCATCTGATTTCATTTCTGAATTCTTTTCATGCTTCGAGCTATAATTCTCGAGGGCTTCAACGAAATCAAACAAGCAAGAGTTGTCAAGTCAGAAATTTGAGCAAATTTCGTAAACAACTTCTTGCGCACATATTTACTTTTATTTGTTAAAAAAGCTACGCAAGTGGTAGACTATTGTCTCGCTCTCAAATTTGCTTTTCATTTTATCTCGACAAATCGATTACGAGCAACTGACAGATCGTATGACGATTTCTGTTGTTTTCGTCAGTCGAAATGCTTAATTAATGAGGAAAACATGTTCTCCGGCTCTCAAACGACCGGCCAACAACATAGAAGTGAAACGAGAGAAAAGTATGAAAGCTTTCTAAATGGAAAATATACCTGCGAGCTCACCTGCGCCACCGCAACAGTTTGCGCCATTTTGCTGAGAGTATACCGCAAACAACAGGTAAGCTGCAGCGATTACAAATGCTAGTAGCAGTTGTTGTTTAATCTTTCTATCCAACTATCGGTACGAACACCACGACAATCGCAGTAAAGTAAACAATTGCGGCCTCCACTATGTAATTTATTAACCGGCTTCTTTTATCAAAATACGTCTTTTTTCTCAACCAAAATTTCTTTCCTCTCGCTCTTTTTTTCTTCTCATTTAGATTCTTTTGATGACAGAATAGAATTGTGTCAATAAACATCAGAAGTGGAAACAAAGGAAAACGAAAGTACGCGATTGCGAACACAAGTGATTGTGCTTTCCAGCCAAGCATTTCGTTTGAAAAAACATGAGAAATACGAAATAGATCGGAAGAGAGAGAGAGAGAGATTTGAAAAGGCAAACTTTCTCATACAACAAAATGACATTAGTATGTTTAATACTTTTGAATGTTTTTCTTTCGAATGATACATATACATGCATGACGAAAAACGAACAAGTAAAAAGACAAGCCGATCAGTTCGACGAATTGATTATAAAATCAAAACGAAAAGTTTGTTTTTTCAGCGGTCTGTCTGTCTGATGCAATGAAACTCTAGATATTAAATTTCCTCTTCAAGTATCGAAGGACGACAAGTTCATACAATAACAAGAGTATCTATTAGTAAATGTCTTGTTCGAAAAAATAAATCTAACTAACGCGAATGCTTTGAAGGTTCAGTTATTTGAAGAAAACGAGAAACTCACCATGGCTTGGTTAGTACGTGCCAGATTGGTAATCGCACTGTCTTTGTCGCTTAATTGATTGCGTAGTTTCTCATTCAGTTGAGTCAGTTCTTGCAGTCTGGAACAGCAGAACAAATGAGTGGTTTTGACGAAGAAGATATTATTTGACTTACTTTTGTTGTAAATCAGTCATTTCACGTGTTTTCTCTCGGATTTGACTTTCTAAATTAGCACGATCATTACGCTCACGTTCGGCTGCAGCCTGAAAGGAAATGTCATAGATTAGAAAACAGCTTCGGAAGCGCTTTTCAATATACTTGTCCTTGAGATTCTGCGGTTTTAGCGGATGTTAGAAAGCTAAAACAAGCACTTGTTAATGATCGACCTGTTTGAGCAAGATCATTTCGAACGCGTGTTAAATCACGTTCGGTGGTGCCTTTCAGCTCAGTGAATTGTTGACGAAACGAAACGATTTCTCGCCATAGTTCATACATCATGTTGTGTTCTTTATCATAGTATTTATTGAATGCCTAATGAATATCAGAGAAGAGATGGTTTCGATTGAGAATAAGTCGATACAAACCCGTGTTTCTTCTTTGAAATCATGTTTTCTCTTTGCTAATTCTTCACGGACTTGTTGAAGTTCTTTGGTAAGATGACGAACATCGTCGCTCAATTGTCGATTAGCTAAATGAGCTTGATCGAGTTGCTCACGAAGTAGAATGTTCAATTGGCCTAGATTTGCTGATCTAAACGAGACTTCTTCAACTTAGTTCATGAACATGACACTCATACTTTTGTTTTTCTTCTTCAAGAATGATGGCACTAGCATCTTGTTCTTCGCTATTTTCCGGAATACGAGATTTGTAGGTCAAGCTCGGTGGCGTTGAATTACTCGTCGACTAGATCGAATGTTAAAGGATGTTTATAGCGAAAAAGTCGACTTACTGAAACTCGAATACGATCCATGTCGACTCGTTGTTGATCAGTTAATGATTCCAATTCAGCACATCGTTTTTTATATTGTACAACCTGTAAGTACACAAGAAAACATTCGTCGACTTCTTTTCTTTTTAAAGGAAAGCCCAAACTTTTTCTTGTAGTTTTTGTACGAGTTGTGCTTGTTTTTGTTGGCCTTCTTGGTAATTAGACAATTTACGTTTATACGATTGATGTTCTTCTTCTAATCTTCGTCTCAACTCGATATTTTGTTGGACAAGAACGCGTCGTTCCGGTTCACCATCGCCAGCCTCCGATGCGACGTCAATACCATGGGCACGTAAGGATTGCTCGAGCTAAAGAATCGAAACGGATATATTTGCTGATGAAAGTAAAAGCAAACTCTCTTATTTCCCTATGTTTATTAATCATTAGGATTGAAGAATATCATCAAAAATTCTAAATATGTTTTTACAAAGTCTTCAATGACAAACCAAGTCATAACAAGGTGGTTGATTGAAATAAAAAAAAACTTACTCGATCCGACAAGGCGTTGTACCGTATGCTTAACTCGTCTTTCTCTGCGCGAGTTAGATTCAAGACTGTTTCCACCCGATTGAGTTCATCGTTGAGAAAACGATTTTCATCAAGAAGCTGAACTGCACTTGATGTGCCCATGAGATTTCGAACAGATGATTGACTTGAAACTGTATGTTGAGATCGAGATCGTGTTATTGGTGGCGTACGAATACGATTTACGAATATGTCTTGCGTCCGACCACGAATCGTTGTACTACGATTTTCATCTTCATCCGAAAGTACTTCTTCTAGATGCTAAAAATACGAAATGTGCACAGATTTCAGATGAATGGTCACGCCGATGAACAATGCGAGAAAGAAGGAAATACATACAAATGAATTTTCAAGAGGAATGTCATCTCCCATAATGTCGATGATGAGTGAGGTTTGCTGATCTTTCGCCTGGCAACTAACCGAACTCGTGTGTTTATGAAACCGAAGCGATTGTTCGAACGTTCTGCTCTTGGTGATGTGACACCACAGGAGTAACGAAAATGTCTTAACTGCTGACGATAATTACACAGCTATCGAAATACATGAGAATGAAAAAAGTCGAAGAGAAAAAACAACTAAGAGGAACTTTTTGATTTTTTTGTTTGTTTATTGCCAACGACGAAACGGCATATTTTTTTTTGGTCATTCTCTCAAGAATTTAAACATGTTTCGAATATATAAGATGAATCTGACCAAATGTTCGGTTGATTGAAATGCAAGTAAAATAAAAAACAAACGCTCGCTTTTTCTTCGTCTCCTTCTCAGTTGAAACATTTTCGGTTGTGTGAAGTTCCATTGCGGTTTTGTGGTTATTCAAAAGGAAAGAAAACCACTAAACAATTATGAAAAAGGAAAAAAGTGAACATCAATATTTAATCATTTCGTTCAATCAATTGAGTGCTTGTCCGGCAGTTTCATCATGTCATTCATGTCAATCGTATGATTGTCCAAGGCAATGTTTTATTATTCATAGCAATTCATATTGAATATATAATCGATTAAGACTAACTAAAAGAATCCGTAGGAATCGCTCTAACACATTCTTAAATAGTCAATCGTATGTTTTCAAATATATTGGTCTATGTCTTGTTCTTGAAGCGAAGTGCTTCTGTTCGAAAGTTTGAACACAAATGTGAGAAAGAAACGCACTGGCAGAAAAGGAATCTAATCTCATCAAAGTCAGCGTCACTTCAATGATAAAATAAAGAAAAAACTCTGAACTTTTGTTGTACAGCGGCGTCATACAGTCAAAAATGCGCTGATTATTTATTCGAGTCTGATTCTTTACTTCTGTTGTTTCAAGGTTTTAGAATCTCAGGCAGCGAACGTTTTTCTCCTATCAATTCAATGTTACTTGAGAAAAGAGAGCGCAAGACAAACAAGACATGGTTTAATTGAGTATTCTCGTTCGCTGCGAATTTTTGATTCGTCTTCGAATGTACATTAGAAAAGATGTGTTTTGCTTTGCGGTTGTTTATTTCGATATTTCGAAGTTAAAATGCTTGTGTTGTTTGACTTCAAGGCATGAAAAAAGCAGTTTAGATTTGATCACAAATCGTATCGTATCAACAAAGTTTCCATTACTTAAAACAAAATTCTAATCTAGAGAATGGAAAAAAAAGGAGAACGCGAATGACGAAATTAAGACATCAGATTTATGTAAAAAAATATCTCTTTTTTTCTAAGGTTTCCTTTTACAAGATTAAATAGACTTGTATGCCTGTTTTGCATCGAATAGCAAGGACATGCACAAATTTGTTCTTTCATTCTACTTACACTCGAAAAGATGTGGATATAAAGATTTGATTACTAAATGTGTAGAATATTAATTAAAATCTAAAACAATATTGAAAAGAAAAACGAAGAAGACGAACGGTTAATATGATCAAATTATTCGCGATGTCAATGAAACGAAAGAAACGTTGAGACTGACCAAGTATTTAACGTTTTTCTTTTCTCTTATAACACTCGACGAACGTCAACATTCAACAGGGGATTAATAGCAACCCGAAAAAAAATCACCATGAACATTTGTTCAAATCCAGTCGTTGCCAAGTGATTAACTTCTACTCAAGGTTAAAAGTCAACTGAATGATTGAAAAAAAAAGAAACATTACAGAATGACTCACGAATAAGATCAGCATTTTCTTTCGCAAACTAAACTGTATAATCGGGATTCCGCAGATAGTGGCTAGATATCTTACACCGTCAAATTTCAGTTAATCGAAGATAGTTATTGTATTATATGGCCGTAAAATCTATCGGATCCAAGGATGGGATTGCTGGACCTACGACTAGTATTGAACTATCGAATAACTTTTTCCGATGTAGATATGAGCAAACATCGATGTTAATAGAGTTCGCTCATCATTTAACTTTGAGAATATATTCAAATAATAACGGAGTCAAACTATTTCTCGTGTAGACTAGCGCCATCTTTAGTAAAAACTTCAATATTTTTTTCATAACTGATCATCGATTTCGGTTAAAAGATACTAAAATATAGATTCTATTACAATTCTATATTTTTCCATCGAAATCAAGCACTTGAAACTCTTTCGAAAAAACAAACCATTCAGTGTATTTTCAGTTCTTCGTCAGTTCGGTTAACTAAACGTCGGAATTACCTAAGAACAATGCATGTGAACATTTTCAAATTTTCTTCTAGATTTCGATTAATATCTTGCAGAAATCTTTAGAACATGGCATCACAGTATAATTTTAAGAAAATAGTGACAATTCCAACTGCTCAGGATTTCATCGATATCATCCTCTCGAAGACTCAACGCAAAACACCAACGGTCGTTCATAAACAATACAAAATCGCTCGTATTCGTAACTTTTACTTACGAAAAATCAAATTTACTCAACAAAGTTTTCATGATAAACTTCAATTAATTCTTACAGAATTTCCGAAACTTGAAGTCAGTCTTTTATCTTCTACACCTCGAAACTTACTGTTTTCATTTGCAGGAAGTTCATCCATTCTATGCTGATTTAATGAATGTTTTATATGATAAAAATCATTACAAACTCGCTCTTGGTCAATTGAGTATTGCAAAAAATCTAATTGATAAGTAAGAAAATGCCCGCATGCATCATTTGTTCATTATTGTTTCTCTAACTAGTGTGGCTAAAGATTATGGACGAATGATGAAATTTGCTGATTCACTCTATCGATGTAAATGCTTGAAACGAGCAGCACTAGGAAGGTTTGTGTCTTTTACTTCATGTTGATGTCTGAGGTTGATTGCGATTGCAACTCTAGAATGGCAACTATTGTCAAACGGCAAACTCAAAGTTTACAATACCTGGAACAAGTCCGGCAACATTTATCGCGTTTACCATCGATTGACCCAAATACACGAACGTTATTAGTATGTGGTTATCCTAACGTTGGTAAATCAAGTTTTCTTAATAAAATTACTCGTGCTGATGTCGAAGTTCAACCGTACGCATTCACAACCAAATCACTCTATGTCGGCCACACGGATTATAAATATCTACGTTGGCAAGTTGTGGATACACCGGGTATTCTCGATCATTCGTTAGGTAAACTTGAATTTAACCTTAGTTAGTCGATTTTGTGTACATATGTTTCTTTGCCTTTCGTAGAGGATCGAAATACAATCGAAATGCAGGCAATTACAGCATTAGCGCATCTTCGTGCTGCGATTCTTTACGTTATGGATGTTTCTGAAACATGTGGTTATACATTAGAAGAACAAGTAAGCGACTGACATTCGTACAATGTTCATCGTCATTTTATTTGATTTTAGCTCAATCTTTTTAACAATATCAAAGTATTGTTTACAAATAAACCGTTATTGATCGTTGTTAACAAAACTGATATCAAACGACTTGATGAATTGTCCGAAGAGAAAAAGGTACTTCTTCGAAAGACTTTGCTTTTCCTGAACGCTGTTCATTTCTAGGCGGTGTTCGAGCAATTTCGTAAAGATGATATTCGCATCGTGGAAATGAGTACTTTCTCCGAAGAGGGTGTCATCGAAGTTCGAAATGAGGTAAATTTCAATATGATCAATAGCTTTTGATAATCAGATTCAACTCCTAGGCTTGCGATCGTTTGTTAGCACATCGTGTTGATATCAAATTAAAGAGTCGTAAGGTAAACGATGTTCTCAATCGTTTGCATGTTGTTCAACCACAAAAACGAGACGAACGTGTTCGTGCACCGTTTATTCCGGAAGGTGTTATTCAACGTTTAGAATCCATGCAAGTGACACCAACGGAATCTACTAAGAAGAAGACCGAACGCGATTTAGAAGTTGAACTAGAAGAAGATTATCATTTGGATCTACGTAAAACATGGTCGTTGAAAAATGACAGTGAACGTTATGATGTTCTACCGGAAATTCATGGCAATAAGAATATTGCTGATTTTATTGATCCGGAGATCATGGCGAAATTGGAAGAATTAGAACGGGAGGAAGAGGCACGTGAACAAGCCGGTTTCTACGATATCGACGAAAGCGAAGACGACGAAGAGACAACAGCTATTCGAAAATTAGCGAAGAAGATTCGCTATAAACGACAAGTTATCATTGGTGACGCAAGATCCAAGAAACAGGCACGACGAACACCTTCCGTACCGCGACCAAAATTACCGGTAGCAAGAGAACGTTTGGAAAGTACCATGAGTGAATTAGGTATTGATATGGATAACAAAGAAGATGTAAGGAAAAAAGGCAAAAGAATAATTTTCATGCATATTAGTTTATTTTCATTTTATAGTCTCATTACGTGGCGAAGATGCACGAAACACGTAGTCGATCATTGAGTCGACCGGAAACAAAACGCAAACGTGAAGATTCAGAAGGTAACGTCAGAAGTAGCTCGAAACGACCTCGTGATCAATCTGGCGTCCGAGATGTGACTATGGCTAAACAGGCTAGAAAAATCAACAAGGTTAGTCAACGTAAAATCAATCTTGATGCTCGTACTGGTGAATCCGACAGAAGAATATTCGTTAAAAAACCAAAACACTTATGTAAGTCGTCTTCGTTTTTATTTACACTTGTGTTGACCGTTCTATTCGACTTTAGTTTCCGGCAAACGATCAACTGGCAAGACAGATCGACGTTAGTCTTTGTTTTGCGTTGTTTATTGTTATGTTTCTCGGAATAAATAAAATCAAGGATAAACTATCGAACGTCCTTTTGTTTTTATAGCGCGAAAGCAATGTTGTTTTCTTACGCTGACCTCTTCTAGATTGAAATAAAGAAGAATATGGCTCAACAAAAGTCAATCACATTTTTCTTCAGAAAGAAACGCGAGCATTCGGATGTTGATGAAAATGAAGAGGTCAAAGAGGTAAACAAATCTGCCTGACAAACTTATGAATCCAACAAGATTTGGAGATAATTCTTTCGTATTCAAGGTTGTTTCGACAACTCCAAAACGCGTCAAAACAGCATCGAATACACCGGTAGCATCGCCTATGCGAATCTCTCAACCAAACTCCAATGTCAATTCACCGAATGTGCCAAAAAGTGACGAGGAAAAACGTTTAGCTGAACGGATTGAAAATAATCGTATTGGAGCTAAGATGAAACTTGAGGCAAAAGCTACACGTGGATTAGTTGTCGATATGGGTATATCGTGGTATAAGGCCTTCGAAAAAGAATTTTCGAAAGAATATTTTCAAAAAGTATGTGTATACACCTGTCGTGTATTGATCAATACTAGTTTTGAATGTTTTTGACTAATTAGCTAGCAAGTTTTGTTGCGGATGAACGCGAAAAAGGTGTAACAGTCTATCCACCTCCTCATCATGTATTTACATTTACACGTATGTGCGAACTGAGCGAAGTCAAAGTGGTTATTCTCGGACAGGATCCATATCATGGTCCAAATCAAGCACATGGTCTGTGCTTTTCAGTACGAAAGAATGTTCCACCTCCACCAAGGTGAGTTGAAACACAAATGCTTATTCTCTTATTTTCATCTATATTCTAGTCTTGTAAATATGTATAAAGAACTGAAAGCTGATATACCCGATTTCGTCATACCAAACCATGGCACATTATCAGGATGGGCTCGGCAAGGTGTTCTGTTGCTCAATGCCTGTTTAACGGTTGAGAAGGGTAAAGCTAATTCACATAAGGGAAAAGGATGGGAAAAATTCACGGTAAGACATCCCTCCAGGTATCATCCATTACCATTTGCTTAACTTCTTTCTCATGTTTAGGATGCAATTGTGCAATATTTGAACGATCGTTCAGCAAATATCGTATTTCTACTCTGGGGAAGAGATGCTCAAAACAAAGGAGCTCGAATTAATAAAGTTTGTATTCCTTTTTATTTAAAATATTGTTTAATTTCATCCATTGTACATTTAGAGTCGACATCATGTTCTCACAGCTGCACATCCATCTCCACTTTCAGCTTATAATGGATTTATGGGTTGCAAGGTATATTCGAACATGAATGTGAAGCATTAATTTTCTCTTGATTTTTTAGCATTTTTCAAAAGCAAATGAGTATTTAAAGAGTGCTGGTCTTGCTGAAATCAACTGGTCAAATTTGCCATCGGAAGATGAGATGCCCTTTGATTAAATCAGTGACCAGTATGTGTTATTTAATGTCAACAACGAAAATATGAATTTATTATTTTTGTACATTTTTGTCTCTTTTCGGGTCGTTTTTGTTTCTTCATGTGTGAGTAATTATACTTGTCTAGTCTTTCTTCTTTATGAAACTTATGTCAGATCTTTTGATTTTTCTTTTTACACGTAAACTTATGTCAGATTTCTCGGGTAAATTTTCAATAATAAAAAAAAACAAAGATTTTCTTTATTATCACTAAACTCTAAGACTTATCCGTGAAAATCAATTTTGCAGATGTTGAACCATATTGTCCGATATCAAAATTTGCCATGTCCGGAGTAATAAGCAAGTGACATCTCTCCTGACGACACGACCCGTTCCCAGATCAGTGATAATGCTTGTAAATTTTTGTACAGCGAAATTTCAACCCGTATTCGAATGTTCCCAAATGCAACTCGATGGTTATCACGCTGAAAATCTTGCCAAAGATTTCTCTCAAAAGTACCATGTTTGTTTGAGTTTCATTTCTATCATTTTTCTCGTTAATAGTCATGGTTTTCTTGCTGATTCGCTGCAACGTCCACCGATTGATATTTACATTCGATTTCCTCTGAATATCGATATCAAACATATTTATTTGGGCCCATCGATTGGTCACCATCGGTCGACATTGATCGAGTTTTGCGTTAATCATCAGATGATAGATGAGAAAACATCTTGGCTCGTCGATTCGTCCAATAAGTCAAATCTCGTCAATGTCAAACAACTATCGTTTCATCGGATCGCACAGATTCTAAATGAAAATGAAAATACTCAACGAATCGAAATCTACGATCATGAAACTGAACAATCCAATTCCAATACATTCGCATATCGTTTTTCTGCCAATACTCATCTGATCAATTGTAGTACAATTAAACTGACAATCAAACGTGCCTGGCGTGTGTCTTCATGTGCTTTGAAATATCTACAAATTTGGGGCTCGCTATCGAATTCCATTCCCGCAGAATTCAAAACAAAACTCGAACAAATTCTCTTCCCTACACCAGCTAAACCTTTAGAAATCAATGAAGCCACATGCTCAAAAACCTCCGAAGAAATCCCGTCGGACTTCTTGGACGCGCTCACATCTGATCTGATGTTGATTCCAATGCTGCTACCCAGTGGTCATATAATTGATCAGACAACATTAGAGAAATGTATAGCTGAAGATACACGTTGGTGTCGTTTGCCACGTGATCCCTTCACATTAAAATCGTTCACTGAAATTACTCAGCCAGTTGTAGCTCAACAATTAAAAATGCGCATTGATCAGTTCCTAAGTGAACATCAGAATGATCCGAAATATCGTCAATATGGTAGAGTACTTGACCCACGACCAACGATACCTGGTAGAAATATATTTTCATCGAAACGAAAACCGGACGATGCTCTGAATGATAATCAAGCGAAAAAAAAGCGAGACAAAGACTAGTTAAATCTGTTTTTCAGATATGTTCAAATTCAATTTCAATATCGAAGAAGATCAAGACACTCAGAACAAGAAATCCGATGAAGACGAGCAATTCGGCGCGTTGAACCAAGACTTTGGATATATTCGCATTGATGATTTACCAAGTATGATTAGATCAGAAAAGAATGCTCCGATATTCATCGTTTTCTTCGATTTTTGTGATATCATACAAAAAACTCTTTCAAAGAATAAAATCATTCGATATTGAATTGTGCAGAAAACATATTTAGATGAATCTGATGAAGATACCGAGAAAATGCGACAAAGATTCGAATCATATCGATCGGATCTTGTTCCCAATGTATACGAAGGTACAGTGTTAGCCTTGCTACATCGTATGACAAGCGTTTGCTTTGTTTTCTAGGCGGTTTTAAAACGTGGGAATGTTCCTATGACCTAGTCGATTATCTACAATCGATTGGTGATAATCTTCGAGATAGAAAAACAGTGATTGAAGTAATTAGAGGAAAACTACACGAGATTCACTGATGTCTGTAGATTTAGTTAGGATGTGGCAGTGGTCTACCGGGAACAGCATTGAATAAGTCAGGAGAATTTCAAGTGGATTTTCAAGATTTTGTAAGTTGATTCGACTGGAGTGGGATATGGAACATTTTTTTTTCGTCGGAATTTTCTTTTAGAACCGCGAAGTTATTGAACAAACAGGCAAACAGTTGAAAAAAGATAAACGGTCATATAATAATCGTATGTTTTTCGGTGATTGGGGTGATTTGTTGAACATCATTCCAGCCCACTAGTGCGTCATCATTTGACAACAAAATTGTCTGATTGATGTACATCTTTTTCTTCAGCTATGATGTTATACTCACTTCGGAGACGATCTACAACACTGGTAATTACGCCAAATTAGTGGAACTATTGAATCATGCTCTTACATCCAACGGTGTCATGTGAGTTATGGCAAAGTGCTCATTTTCCACGATTAAGATTCATTATCAATAGATATCTGGCCGCTAAAGTGTATTATTTCGGAGTTCAAGGTGGTGTTCGTCAATTTGAAGAATTTATCGCCAAAACCGGCTTATTCAAAACTCGAGTAGTTCGAGTTATTGATGCAAGTGAGTCAAAAATTTGATATTTACTTCCAGATGTACCAAGACTTTCATTTTTTGCAGATGTTAAACGTGAAATTCTCGAAATGACTCGTTCAATACATTGACTTTTTGACTAATCAAGAAATAATCTCCAACTCACTCTTTGTTTTGTTACAATTGTCTAACGAAGTACTAAGATAAATCCGTTTATTCATAGAATTTCACATTTCGATATCCTAATCGTATTGACGGGCCTAGAATATAATGTGATTCATACGTTATCGTAGAGGTAATCGATAACAAATCACCATTCATGACTTGTCAAAGGCATTGTGTTATCTGATCATGTCGAAAAATGAATATAATACCGTGGTAATAGCGTCGCACGATTCAATCATTCGATTATATTATCGTTGACACGTTTTCATCCTTATACTAAACATATGGGATTGCGTCTTTAGAAAATATCTGTCTATTGTTCGAATCACATTTGTTTTATCAATAGCTTTTTCTTTATATAGTAATGAAATAGAAAAAGAAGAAACAATTTTCAACTAATTCAAACGAATTATTCACGTCAAGAACATAAATAAGAAGGTAACAAGGAGACGAAGGAAATTTGCAATTTTTATTTATCGGCAACTCTTGGCGTCATCGCTATACGTGCTCGAATCATATCAATATGTGTACGGAGATCTTTTATATCGGCATGTATCGAATCGGAACGTCCTTTCGGAGCACTGACGGCTAATTGTCGCATTCTGTTCATTTCTAATTTCATTGCTTGCATTTCATCAATTAGCATTTTCAAATATTGCTTCGTATCATCTTCATTATCACTTGAATTGTAATTTTGATTTGCCGACGAAGTATATTTCGATCGTGAACGTGATGGTTGAGATGAATTATCGTGTGCAGCTGATTCACCACGTGTAATAACGTATGCGTTACCATTTGTGCGTTGACGTCGGTGATGTTGATGATGACGACTTGCTAGACCGCCTGATGAATGTTGAGCGCTGACTGAACGGTTCTGTTGATGATCATGAAGACGACGAGGAGAATTCGAACGTGAACGTGATGGTGTACGACTACTTATGTTCCCCTTTGGAGTGTCCTGCGGTTCGATATACGCCAAGGCGGCGCCATTACTTCCTGTCTGTCCCACATTTGCAGGTGGTAGTGCTGTTCGCAATGTTTCACCTGTTGGCAATGGAATCGTCTTTGGCACGTAGCTAACATTGAAAACGAGAGAAATATTATCCCGATAAACGACGCTTTTGTCACGAAAAAAAAATTTCGAATTTCTTACCGATTGTAAATGCCTATGGGTATCAAAGGCATCTGTTGCTGTTGAGATGCTTGCCAAGCAGCCAATTGCTGTTGTTGTAAAAGCAATTGTTGCTGCTGCTGTTGTTGCAATTGTTCTGGAGTGAGATCTATACTATTATTTGCAACGGGCGTTTTCGATTTAACTGGTTTCTCTGGTGATCGCGATCGATATTTTCGTTGTTTAACTCCACTATCATTTGAGCGTTTCGATGGCGATTGTCCACTTTTCTGCTTTTTTGGACTCCGATGTCGTCGATGAGAATGTTCTTCTCGATCACTATGATAGCTACCTTTATATGGCGAATGGGTTATCGAAAGTAATGTTGGCGTCATGTTAGGCTTTCTGTTTGCTTCGTTTTCCCGATTATATAAAATACGACGGGGTGATGGTTGACGAATATTCGTATTATTACGATAAGGTTCATACAACAATGGCGATTTACTCGGCATTGGTGTATACGGTTGACGGTTTTCCAGCGGATACAGACTATCAAACGGGCTCGAATAGGGTTGCTGTTGCTGTTGTAGTGGTGCTTGTTGAGAATTATTAGCTTGTTTAACAATACGAAAATCATCACGTAGCAATTGAGCATCGGAAGGATGTACCACATACAATAATACACCTTTCATATTCGATTGAAGCTCATCATAAACGATACAGATAACGTTATTTATACTAGGTAACATATAAATATCATGTACAAGTCCGATAGGAATGAAAACGGGTATACGTGTTCGAGCAATTTGAGGATCTTGAGCACTGATTTGTATGCCCACTCGATTAATACGAACCCAGACGGCGGTAGCTAGAAAAGATAGAATATGTTGGATCTGAGTGCGCAAATCTTACATACAGTAAGGTTGGCCGGCTGCTGCATGATTGATAATACTCCGAATTGTATCAGGAGTATAAGAACTGACTAACGTCGAGTTCAGTGGATAACCTGTATAACGTCGAGATGTAACACCATCATTGACACTATTATAAGTTATCAATTGACTCATAACTATTCGTTGTCGCTGTTTTTCAAGTCAAATAATCGATAGTTATGATTAATATAATCTAAAATATGCTCACAATTAACTTCGTGTTATTGCTATGGAAAAATAAGTCAACGACGACCGATATCTATCTAACTGGTTGATCTGCCCATCTTAATCGTTACCTGACTCGATAAGTATAAACGCGTATGTATACGACATATACACGAACAAAAATATACTTCTTTACATTTCAATGGTTACGCTTCACCTGTCTACGTCTTTTTTTCTCTCTCTCTCTCTCTCGTTTTACTGGTAATAAGCATATATACAAAGGAGAGTCGCTAAACAGCACATATAATACCCAGTTTTTGCAATATCTTTTGATCAAATGATTGATTTTTGCTTACATTGAATCTGTCGCCAATTCGCATTGTAGATTTGTGCATTGTATAAGTCATATATTGCATTTCTTTTGACAATTTTTGTAACAAAGAAACATTGGAGGACAGAAAATGAATGAGAGAAATGGGGAGATAGCGAACGAGAAGAAGAGGAGAGGTGAAAGAAGCGCATACACTAAATTATTTGTTTTTATTTTGATATGTTATTTTATCATCTAATTTATACACTACGTCGTTTTTTTTCTCGACGGAAGAGAGAAACTAATTATAATTATGTTCCTGTCATATATCGAATACTACGATGTTGTTTCCAACGATTTTGTATTAGACTTGAATATTTCGTAAAGACAATCGTCGTTGGCATGCTACGCAAAAAAAAGTAAAGGTGCGAAAAGAAAATGCGACTAGTCGTTTTACCTAAATACAATAATACCAGTCAATGCACAAACACTGGCAGCTAATCGAGCTTCGAACTAGTGTCAAAGGTGATGAACGAACAAAATAATTTATTTCGTTTAGCTCACGGATCGTGGATATACATCTCCATAGCCTAATGTCGTTAGTGTAATGAAAGCCAACCAAAATCCATCTGAAATAGAATGAATATCTTGAGTTGATTGACGTTTAAGGACTCGTGCGTTGAGTGAAACCTTCTTTTTATTCCTATTTATCAATCAAACAAGAGAATGGGATACAATCTACTCATTTATCGCCTCGCGTAGGTTAATAGGAATGTTTATTTTCATTTTCAATTATGATTGTACACGTTATGTGATCAATTACCGTTTAATTATTGTACCTCATATTGTTTTCAATGACGATTGACATAATAAATACAAAAAAATAACGAACCGCCTTGAGTTATATTATCTTCATAACAGGTTTTGCAGAGAAAATATATTAATACGCGTATGATTACGCTGACATCCATAGTGACAGCGAATTGTTAACGGTATAATTGATGGGAAGAGAAGCGGGTTGCATCGTTCGTGACGCTTAGTACTATGAAAATGTGTCCTATTTTCTGACGAACTACGAAAGATTTGCACAGCTTCTCTTCGGCTTAAGCGATTAACCCAAATGAGTTGTTCTGTGGATGGTAGATCATACTTACCGAGAATGTTTCTGGTATTCGATTCCGGATTGGAATTATCAATGATATAAATCATCGTTCCGAACAATAACATACAGAATGTCACTAAAAACGCAAATCTGCCTGATAACTTTCATCGAGTTTTATCTGTACCAGATATAATCAACGAGGAGAGTTCATTTAAACTCATAGCAATGGCTTTGTATAGTAAACGTAGATGCGACATATGTCGAGTTAATCGGTAGATGCGAAATGATTTCAAAATTAGTAACCAATAGTAGAACGAAAGGAAATTGTTGATATAGCCAATATTATGTAAATGATAACTAATCAAACATACTGCACTCGACAAGATTATTATCTAAATCGACATCGGCGGCAATGTCTATGATTACTTGAGAGCTATAATTACGTACGAGATCAAGAAAGTTTGAAACATCGTAGAGAATGAGTGAAAATATCGGTGCAGAAATGATTCGTAGGGCGAGTTCAATGGTAAATGCGAAAATGCAGACAATCTCGATGATATAAGATGGACGCATGTACAACGGAAAATGTATTTGATTGACGCCAAGTATTTCTTGGAATTGGGCCAGCTCAGTAACGGTCGGAATGATCCTAGAATATTTGTTTTCATGTATTCATCTTTTGAAATCTACTTGAAAATATACTCGCTGAGAAACGGTACACAGGATAGAATAGTCAATAGTATCGACAGGCCAGTAATCAAATCACCGTAAGGAAAAGCAATACTGCTTGGGTAAGTAAGTGTTTTCCAAATTAAACAACGCCATGTTTCAGTTGGCAATAAACGAATATCATCTAAAGGTGTCTAAGAATCTTTCTCTTAGAGGAAATATTCTTTTATGATGAAAATATGTACCATGTCTTCTTCGATGAATACTTCACTGAGACGTTCATCGATTTGCCAAAACCGAAGTTCTTCATAGAAAAGTTCCGGTTCGATATGTGGTGGCCTTCAATTTCAATAGCAGTTTAATTCAATCGAATTCAATCATGTCTATCTACCGCATGAGCATGCCGGGATTCAAATAGTAATAGAGTATTGATTCAAATATAGATGGATGACGATCGAATCGATACACGTTGGAAGATTCATCGTAGAATAGACGTCGTTTCAGCTCATCACCCAACAATGTATTTGGAAAGTTTTTCAACTGGAAAAAAACTGCTTTTTTTCAGTATAAATCAATTCTGTTTGTCGGATGAGTTACTTGCTGATTTTGTATGACGAACTGTTTACCTGAAATAAGGATCGTAATTCGATCATGTTGTTCATTCTGAAGAATCGAATGTAGATCGATTAATTGTTGAAACTGTCGTGTCTGCATTTGTGATTTTCAGAAGTTTTCTGGTTGCTAAGATAGAATTGCAAGTGAATTTGTAAAGGAAAAAAAAGATTATTTATTGTCATGATGAAATATAAAAGATTACAAATAAAATAGAGATCTTTCTAATGTGTTAATTTTCATTATCGACTATGAATATAGAATTTTGTTCGCCATGGAGATTATCCCTCATGGAACCCGATATAGTTGGAATAGGTCGCTGTTCATTATAATGAACATGATCATTTTGTTCAACGACTGGTGCTGCTGAAGTGGTCGCCAGTGAAGTATACAAAACTGGCGCCAGAGTCTCGGTTGGTATCGGCTGTTGTCGACTGCTTGACTCAGGAATTGTAATACCGTAGGCAACAAGAATATCTAGATTGCATAACGGACAATGACGATGATTGATCAACCATGGATCAACACAAATTTGATGGAATGTATGATTACATTCTAGAGATGGAAAGTTGAGTAAGCGATCAACTAAGCTCTGTACACTTACTTAATAGTCGTACAGTGTCACCAGCTTTAATTGCATCCAAACAGATCACACATGATTCTTCAATAGGAGGATTTTCTGTGATTGTGATCAGTGGAATTTTCGTTAAGGCTTTTTTCGCAGCATGCGTCAAACGATTGTTCAAATGATCTTTTGCTGTACGAGAACGATATCGTTGACAATAATAGAACACAAACCATGCGATAAATAAGCAAACCAGAACTGATATCGATATCGCAACAAAAATGATCGCACCACGAGAATTGTACCACAAATTTCGTCCAGGAACATCATCGTAATCGATTTGCATTGGATCTAACGTGATATTCAGATAAGTCTGGTTATCATTTGCCAAATCAAACAACATCGAACCAATCATTTGTGAAACATACAAAGCTAAAATATCCGAATTGTTTTGTAGCATATCGAATGCATCTTGACCAGTACTTCGAGGGTCATAAATTATCACCGCTGAAATAGCAAAGAAAGACGTAAACATACGCTCAGAATTAACAATTCTTCTTCATATAGTACCTGATGCACCGAACTGCTTAGCCCGTGTAATTTTCACACTAAATGTGCAATCACCGCCGCGTTGTATAATTGCAATACCATTGGAATATGTTACATTGTTAATCGGCTGCTGACACGCATCATAGTTCTTTCTCGAGTCGATTAGTACGAATGCGGGTCTATTGAATACTGGCGACTGACTGCCTCGGGTTGAAACAATACCATTTGTCTGACTTTCTTCTGTTCTGTTGGAATAGTTCGATGAGACCGAATAATATTCATATTTAATCGTCGCGGTTAATTGCCCATTGAGAAAATTCGGAAAGAATATAATACAGCATAGAATGGTGTTCATTGAATATAAATCAAATAATTGTTGAAAGATTCTTTTCATTTTTTACCGGGATGATGAAGAAATTCTTTCCTTCTCCTCTTCTTCTTTCTAAAAGAAAAGATACTTTTCTTGTCTTATGTAACCTTGACCGTTTCTTTCTTTCTTTCTTTTTTTCTCCTCCTATTTCGAACAAAAAAAAAGTTATCGTCAGATGGAAATGGTTCATTTACATAAAGAATGCAGTAGTAACAGATGGATCTATGACAGCATGAGTTTACCCTGCGAGGACAATGCCGTTATTAATGGTAAATAATCATACAAACGAGATTTCTTCATACGACTCTCGGTTGGCGATGATTTCGGAATTCGATAAGTATTTTTTAATGAGTGTCGAAGAAAAAAAAGAGAAAAATGTCTTATGATTACTCTCAAATGATTTTTACAATACTAAATCGTGCTGTTTTGAATCGAAGAAAAGAAAAGAACTCGTAATACCAAGGTTGTCTGACATGTATCAGGTAGTAAATGTAAGTAATACAATACTTATTGTCATCAACGCATGACGAGTAAAGGCTAGTAGGTTTCTTATTTTGTGCTTGTATGGCAGATGAGGTGATGTAATGTCCATAATATCAAGCGATCGCACGATGTATGCACGATGTTACGCGCAAAAAAGCAGTTAACATACATTGAGTAAGGTTATTATTGTTTTCGCCTGTATTCGTTCGCATTAAAAGACACTTCACTGTACTAAGATTATTCATTATTTACATGTAGAAAAAAAAAGAGAGAAATACGAACGATCGAGAAGAAAGAAAGGTAGAAAAGAAGACAACAGAATGCATGCAGACGCTTTTTTCCTTTCTTTTTTTACATAGTTATACGTACTCTCCGTCAAATGCCCTTTCATATGATGTGATGTTTTTTGTTAAACGTCAACTTATGTGTCGCATTTGTTTCGTATACCTTTTCTCCTTTCATCTTACTCTATAGGACAATAAGTATTACCAGTTGTCTCCAATCGATGATCTAATGTTATGGTCATCATTCGCGCAAATGAACGTTGCTCATGTGCATATGATAAGAGATAATTTCTCCATTAAAGATTGTTTTTCTTTCGCTGGTAACCAAATTATAGTTAATAGTAGAAAATTTCCTGATCGACATCGAAATCAGGTAAAAACACGTGCTGTGCGCAACTTTGACTCATGTACACTTTGCGAGCAAAGGTTTTGCGCCATTCATAGGTGATTTACCTTTGATACTTGCGCTATTTTGCTTTGAAAAATAAAAAATATCAATCGTCATCTACCTATTTGCTCTTTAGCTTTAATTTTCCTATTCACGGTCAGATTAATCGTAAGACGATGTTTCATACGCATTTGTGATCCAGTAACTATAACGAGTTGTGCGTTCTTCGAACAGGCAAAGAGATCACATTTCAATGTGTGAGAAGATGTTCAAATGAACTGTAGATAAGGTAAAAAAGCGGTAATGATCATCATGAACAATTTAGTTCGTGCTAATGGTGCGTATTTACTTACTGTCTGTAGGACGCGTCAATGACATCGGATAAAGATTGTACGTGCTGTATGGGTGATGGACAAAAGAATTGTTGATTATTTGACAATGCATCAAATAAAACATCTCGATGTTGTCATACATATAAACACTTATTGTCTTTTGTTTCTTTTTCGATTTTACTTCAATATCTGTTGAGCAAGACACGACTCGTCAGACAATGAAATCAGTTCGAATTAATCAAAGAATTTATTTTGAACAGAATAAGAATTATAAACGTGCACATCGTTTTTTATTCTCCTTATAATAAGATACGATATGTGCATACATATTATAAGAATAAACAGAACAGAAAAAGAAAAAAGAACGAAGAAAAAAACCAGAGTGTATGTAACAAATTCGTTTTGTTCAATAGTATGGAAGTAAAGCAGAGACATGTGTATGTACAAACACAAAAGAACGAACAAGTTAATTATCTGACACAAACAAAAAAATAGTAATAAATAGGTTAAACATAAGAGTAGGAAGATAAAAACGCCAGAATTGTAGAGATTAATATTTGAGTTTTTGCAAATTCAATAAAAAGAAACGAAGAGTTTGTCACCGATACAGATATTGTTTGATAGATAGTCACCGTTGATTTGATTTTGATCAAACGTTTGCTGGATTTTCTAAATGAAAATAATTTCGCGATGGCGGATAAATTGGTGCTGACGCATAACCCATTCGTTTGGGTTGTTGTTGTTGAGATGGACCCATTGAATGATCCATATTATGACTGTAGGATGTAAAATGCGATGATTGGACGGTGAATGTAGATGGATAAGGTGAGCGAGTCGGGGTTGGTAGAATCGACGGATACGATGTTGGTTGATGGTTTTTTAAGGATTGAGAACCATTCATATTCGTATGAATGAATTGACGAGGAATGGGTGGATGAGATGATTTTTGATTAGTCATTGAGAGGGAAGACTGAGCCAAGGTAGTCTTCGGTTGATAATCATGGATACCATGAGATTCATGACGTGTTGATGTAAAATGTTCAGATTTTGGTTTACTGATAGACGGCGTTTGAGTAGACGTATCGAAACGGTATGGTTGATAGCCTTGCGGCTGTTGTGGATTATCATTCGATGACAATGAGTATGAAAATATTCCTGAAGGACGATCGTTCTTCTAAATATCAAATTGACAATGATGAAAAAGAACAAGGGAATTAGAAATTAAAATGCACTTTTTTTGATGATCGACGTGCAGATGAAGACGAAGACGATGAAGCCGAATCTTTCCGAGAACTAAAAGGAGCAGGCGGTGGTGGTGGATGAAATGTCGGTCGGCTGTCATGAGGAGCTAACTGATAATGGAGAGGAATTGGTTTAAATGTTCTGCTACTTGAAAAGAAAAGGTAATAACGAACAAATGGTTCTCATCAATCCCTACTTTTCTTCTGATTGTTCTTTTCGTTTTGATCTAAAATACATATCAAATAGAAACATCCTACAGTCAAAAGAGCACACTTACTTATTCGCAAATAAATTTGAAAAACGAAATCGTTGTTTTTCGACTTTATTCAATGTGTCTGCATTTGTTGAATCTAAATACATTATGCAATGATCACCTTGAAAAATTTTCATGTTCTATTGAATTGCGGAAATGAATTTCTTCAAAATTTCTATCATTGGGAAATGAATTCTTACTCAATATTAGTGTCTACTGAAGTAATCATCTACATTAATGATTATTTCCTGTTTAATGAAGACATGTCGATATCCGGAATGATAGAAAACCTTGTACTCTTACCCTCATCATTGAGATTGGAATTGTGACCGTAGGATTTGTCCACAGCTTGTCGAAATGAGTCATTACATGCTCGACTACGAAGCTTTGCCTGACGCTTTTGTTCTCCGTCATGAATTGTTGTAGCGTTAGACGATTCGCGTTCGTCTAAGATCTTCGGAATACTTTCCAATGACGACGAGCGAATCAAACCAGGTGATGCACGGTTTCTATTCGAAGCTGATTTTGGTAATGGCGGTATTGGTTGTTCTATTGAAACGAAAAACGAGAGAATTAAGTTCATATCTCAACAGAGTCAAACAAAACACAAAGCATGCTCATATATGAACTCGAACTTTTTTGTTTTTCAAAAACATGCATATTTTTCTGAGTAGGAAGATGGTCCCATATCATTCAAAGACTTTTTTTTCGTCGATGTAGACATGCAAGAAATAAACGGATATGATTCGAAAACAAGAAATGTGTATAAGACCTGCTCGTCTATTCACGGAATAACGACAATCATGATCTGTCTTATCGAAATCATCGTCACCATCATCATCATCGGAGATGTCAATGAGAGGTGTAAGAATTTCAATTGATGCTGCAGTCGATATCGGATATGATTCTGCAAGAAGAACTCATTTAAATCAATAAATCAATCATTCATTTGTTGCAGATTAATTGTAAGCAAGCAAAGTCTCGACGTACTTCGTTCAGCTTGAGTTCGACCTTCATGAAATGATCGCTGTTTCCATTGAATGACTTGTTTGTTAGGTTGATGTGTTAAACGACGTTTCTCGGAAACACTTTGACGAAATAGAGTTTCACGTTCGAATGGATTTGTCCTTCAAAATTTCACTCATTAGAAAACAATGCACATATGAAGTGAAGAGCAGTCAATGTCTTACCTATTACTATCGACATCATCGGGAGTTTCTGAAAAATACAGAGAACGAATGAGACTGAGGGTAATCGAAGAGAAGAAACTTTACGTAGATCATTTTCGTATTGATTGAGGCTTTGTTTATTGCCCGATGATGATGATAATGATCGAGGACTAGAAGATTGATGATCTTGGTTACCTGTCAAATTTCAAAACATATGAATTTATCTTAAGCAAAACAGAGGCTTACTTAATTGTTGCACAAGTGGTTTTCGGCTGATCGACGGCGGAACATAAGTTGTCAAATCTAGTTCATTTTCATCATCTTTGAATGAAACTGCCGATTGGAATACAGGAAGTACTAAATCAACCTCTTTCACATGTCTGGATGAATTTAAACGTTCTTGATCATTGTCGGACGTTTTCGGCAAACGAGATATTGTTACTTTAATATAACCTGGATGTATTTCACGACGAACAGATTCATGTAAAATAGTAGCAGCGTCTGAATTCGATATATTGATTAAGGATGAATCATTAATAATGAGAATTTGATCATTTGAGCGCAGTCGATTGTCCTAGAGCGAGAAAGTAAAACACATGAAAATAACTTTTGAAAGAAATGAATTTACTCGAGATGCTGCACCGCCAGTTAAGATACTTTTAACGAATATTCCTAAATCGACTGATTGTCCATCAACAATTGAGGTTTTGCCTTTAAGAGTTATTCCCAGACCGGCTGATGATGTATCATTCAAAGGTATATCGAATGTCATTATTTGTGGCTTGATTTCATTTGTTGTTCTATCCATGACAGATGTTCCATCATTTCCCTATCAAATACAAATGAAGTGAAAGAATGAAATGGCTTTAAAGCAAATCAACATACGGAATCTGTTGTTCCTGAACCATCGCATTGTCTTGATACACGGAGTTCGACTGTATCACCAACACGCGTCTCACGCAATAAGCCGACTGTTTCTTGCAATGACATTTGTGTAACATCGATAGAATTGACGGATAGTAATCGATCACCACGTTGTAAAGATCCATCTTCGATCGCTGCGCCTTTTGGAAATATAGTTTTAACATAGATTGGATTAGCAACACCGGTAGGATTATCTCGAGACGCAAGTTTAAAGCCAAGACCATCATTTCCTAAGAAAAATAGTGATATTCATCAATAATTAATGTACAATTCAGTTGAACATGTAATATATCAGTCTCATTTCTCTTGACCTTTTCGAACTATCATATTTTAAATATCCATTTACAAATCTAACGTGTCTGTCATCGTATGCATGATTATATTTCATTAATTGTGAAGAAAAACTTGACATCAAGGTCGTTCAACTCGAGTTAATCAGTTTCCTTTTAGTGATGTGTTTTATAAGTGAACCTGCGAAGGTCGATCGAAGAAGAGAAAACCTGCTCACGTTCGATCTATTCATACCTTTTACTAGTGTGATTTTAATAATTTTTCCTAATCGTCGTGTGTTTAATGAATTCATGTTTGGGCCGTGATCAGTAGATGAAAGATCGTTATTTTGATTGATTTCGGAGAGTGTCGTACGTGGTTTGTCGGTTGCACGAAACGAAGATGGATTCGATGATTTTTTCGTAGTTCGAACGATTTGCAACTCCAATTCGGGCTCAAGTAGAGCAGTGCGAAAGATTAGTTGAGCTCTAAAACGAAGTTTTCATAAGAAAATACAAATAAATATCGAAAAATTTCTCGATTTACTTGTCAAATGAGCACCGTTCGATATTTATTCGATTGATTTCAACAATTCGATCATTAATTTGTAAAATACCATGTCGTTTAACCCGTCCATCAGCCTCAATATTTTGCAAAACAAGCCCGTTCACTTGTTCTTCATCACCATTGTAAGGTATTACATGTATACCCAATGGACTATTTTCTTTGGGCAAAATAATCGAGAATACTTTATCACCAGTTTTATCATCAATATAAACATTGTGCATTTCAACACTATCATCCGAGAATGACTTTTTTATTGCATCTTGCGTTGGCGGAGAATTTGTTTGCCGATAGGTCATTTTGTTCGTTGAAGATGATGATTGATGAGAGATTGACTAAAACAGGACATGAGATAACAAAACGAATGTTTATTTACGGTTGAAATCATACCTGTTGAGAACTGTAATTAGTATCGTTTTTAACCCGTAAAAATCGATCTATGGGAAAGAAAAAGCGAATTTGATATTTTATTTATTCAAATCATATGTTGGATGTGTTTACACATCTACTTCTCCATGTCACGAACGAAAATTTGATTTCTAACATCAAGACATCGCTTCGAGTCTCCAAGGAGTTCTATTATTTCCTCTGTTTGTTCGATTCGATTGGCTTTAATCAACGAGTAAGACGTAGTAAAATTAATCTTCAACAAAGAACAATATTACACATTTCTTATCGGTAATTTGATAATGTGTTGTTAGACAATATTGTAACATGATATCGAAGTGGACGCTCTGAAAATTTCTAGCAGGCTGCTCATTATTTAAACGATTACATACAGGTTTGCTTCTTTGTTCGGGTAATATGAGACGAGTTGATGGGTAATTTTCAAATTCTCTTCTTATTCTGTCCAACGAGATAAAAATGGATTCAATGATGTTTATACAAAGCGCGGTCAAATATGGTAACAATCAATCATCGATAAAAACGTCTCTCAATCATGTGCGAAATTCATTAGGTTAATGTTTTATGATGATCTTTGTTGTAAAAGGAAAAACCTAGTCTGCGTTTTTACTCTTTTCTATCTTATTAACCTGATGTAAGAGCAGTTTAATTCACTTTCAGGGACAGGCTTTTTTATGACAACGCTCAAATGTAATCAGACCTATCTCATTCATCAACCGTCACGCACATACACACGTACAGATAGGATGTACTCGAATTTCTTCATCATCGTTCACTTTGCCTGTTGTTCAATGCTCTTGACATGAACATGATGTACAAGTTCAAATTTCGTTCTCTTCACAGGTTTTATTGTTCGAATTCAAAGAGTGATAAGAGATGTGAAACGACCTACTTTGCAGATCAGCGTCAGTTACAATCACTTCATGACGATTTGTTGAAGATGGAATCATTAAACGATCGTGTTCGGACAAACTTGATGAAAGATTAGAACTAGTTACACTTGAAGATAATTCTCCATTGCTATTCATTGTCGGCGGTGTATATAATGGATAAGTTGATTGATGAGAATCAATAATAGCGAATAACTAAAAGAATTTTAGATGAAATTCATGTTATTAATCATACGAATTAATTACTTCTTCTCGATCATCGACTACATCGCACACACGATCGTCAGAATCGACGACAGCACCATTATTTAATCGTAAGTGAACTTGATCACTGTTTAAAATTGGACCACTGTTGTATGACTATCAAGAGAGCAAAACAAATGTTTTATTGACATATCAACGTGCAAATGTCTTCTTATGTACCAGTTTGGAATATTTAGTAGTTGCCGAGTGAATCAATTCACGTATGGATATATCGCCATTTAAACCGCATGGTACGACAACTTTCTTTTCACCAAAATTGACAATAACTTTCATTGTGAAATGTTTCACAAACAAACAATTGATGAAGAAACTTGTAGTTTTATACAGAACATCTCCGTAAAACTAAAAGAAATCGAAATAAAAGAAAAACGTCAAAAAGAAGAATGATGATGATTTCGACGACATACATAAGAAGGAAGAGACGAAGAACGAGTAGTAGAAAAAAAAACGAAAGAGAGAAAGAAAATGAGCAATGCTTTCTTCTGCTGTACATATATGTATCTGTATGCAGGCGTATAAACGGCGCCGTCCATCTCTCGTGAGGAGGGAACAAACTAGTGGGAGATCGATCAATTGGTCCTATCGAAAGGAAGAATGTAACTGTATGCATGTATGTATATACGTATGGTTTCAATACGCTCGTCAAATCGTTCTCATTTAGAATAATGGAAAGATAATTATATACATAAATTGATATAGTTATAAACAAGACAGTGTATAAAAATAGTGATACGATACGCTGTGTTTTATAGTAACTTACAGAGAGGGCTTGATGATTATTATCATGAGCGATCGAAAGGAAAAAGACAGAACTAGGCAAAATAGGTGCGTAGAAAGAAAAAGAACAGCAAGAAAGCAACGACAGAATGGACAAAAGAAAAACAAAGGTGAAGTTTGATTGGTTTAAATTTAGACTAGTTATCTGTCAAAACGAAAAGAAAACAAAATGGCGAATGCAGCAGAAACATAACGAAGCGAAATTGTATTTTCAGTAACATATGTTTGTTGTGTTTCATGGTTCAAAAAACATCTTGTCAATCTATATATGTTTATCGTACACTCGACACTTTTTTTATTCAATAGTCTTTCTGCACATATTCATTATTATCTATTAAGAGATTTCATAACTATTTATTGAATTCACCGTATGAGTTCGTCTTTTAAATCAGTCTTGGTTTGACGAACTGCGCAAGAATTTTGCTAAATTGAAGCGTTGCTGTTGTTATTACTACGATAAAAAGCAGTAACAACATGCAGAATTCCATGTGAAGTGTATTTATACGTAAATGCTTCACATGGCTTTCAGAACTGTTCAGTTTTTCAAGTTTATCATACACCGTTGGCCGAAATTGTATATATTCGTAGTGCTCTTTAAACCTTCAAGGCGTAAACGGCTGAAAATGATTCACAGAGAACTGCAGATCCAAACACGATTTCTGCAGTCAATGAAAAACTATGTGTCATTTCATAGTCAAGCATGGATTTCAGGATGACACTCAGTTTCTCATTACATCTTCAGTCATATTGTTTAACTTGCTTTTCTTTTTCGCTACTCATATCGTGAAGGTATTTAATCATATGAATCGGATTTATTAAGTAGAATTTTCAAGAAGAAACAAAGTGATTTCGATCAGTAAAAGTCAGCTGAAATAAAAAATGCGATTGAAAATCAAGAGATCAAGAAATCGCTTTGTTCCCACTTTGGAATCTTTTTATATTAGACTGATGTATAAGTAATACCAAATGCTATATCAATCCTTAGCATTAGACATAAACTCAATTTTTAACTTTGTTCGAATTTCATCTATTCATCTGACTCAAAGTGTTTAAACCTCGATAAAGTTTTGAAAAACGAAGTGAAGTTTACCAAAGGTAGAGAATTGATATCACTGAGAGATGTCTCCATACAGTGAATGGTAAAATGAAGTAACATTGAATACACGTTATGGATTGTGTATACAGTGTATTGAACAATCCAATTTCTATCGTGCAACAATACAATCTTTTGGTATTGATAATACTACTCTCATCTTATTTTCGAGCATCAATGCACAAAATATAGTGAAATATATAGGTCACGAATCTTGAATAGTGAATCAAGAGAAAATGATTGGTCTTTCTTCGTAGCGACGCGAATTGCATTGGTTAATTCACTGTTGGCTTTTTCGATGAGTGTTATTTAGAGTCTATGAAAACAACACAATCGTGAAAACTTTTAACATGACTAATTCACCTCCAGTCGCTCGAGAATATTCTCTTCGAATATCGAAGAATGTGCGACATTGGCCAGATCTTCTTCAACTGGTTTATCAACAACAAGTAGCTTTAGAAGATATGTTCACAAGAAGTACTACACTTTACGGAACTGTACGAGTCAACAACATTGCATTTGACAAACGAGTCTCCGTTCGGTTTACCGTCGACCAGTGGAAAACATGCTCGATAATCAATGCATTTCATTCCATACATCATGCAGATACTAATACAGATTGCTTGCAATTTAAACTACTTATACCAAAAGAAGAATTACAATCACCGCCTACGTGTCTTTCATTTGCAATTTGTTATCAGATTAATCAACGAGAATTTTGGGATAATAATTTCGGTAAAAATTATAATCTGGATGTCATCGAGCGGTAAATAACATCTAGACAATAATGTCTTTCTATCTATGTCACATTAGTAACACATTAGATGCATCATGCAAGTTTTTTAAAGAAGATCAGTGGTTGTATCGACAACTTGCTCAAGACTATCACGCGATTTCCAATGGAAGAAGAGATTTATGTGGATTGAAAAATCTTGGTGGAACGTGTTACATGAATTCAGTTTTGCAATCATTATCAATGACTGCACTGTTAACTGATTCTCTTCTAATTGATCATCGTATCGATATGAATGACGGAACAGTACTGAGCGAATTTGTGAATTTATTATATTTACTCCATTACAGTGACTATTGTGTTCTATCACCGAATCCGTTCAAACAAATTTTTGGTCATTTGAACAAAACTTATTTGCAAAATCAACAACAAGATGCTCATGAATTTCTTCTTCTGTTGTTAGATTGTTTGTATCAAGATCTGATTCAAGTACGAATGAAAGCGATTGGAGTCATATAAAGATATAAGTCCTTCAAATTGTATAGATCAAATCAAAGAGAGAAGATCGAAACACGTCATTAATCCTAGATTTATTTTATGTATGTAGTTTGTAGTTGCAAATATACTCAATGAAATAGTTATATTTTCAGGGTACCTACAGAACAACGACAACATGTTCAAAATGTAAAAACATGTCAATCAATTTTGATCCTTTTCTTTGTCTATCTCTTCCAATACCATCAACGCATCACTGCACATTAGAAGATTGTATTGCAGATTTCAACACTGATGAATCTTTAACTGACGACCGGCAATGGTTTTGTAAGATTATATTTTAATTTCGTTCATTCATTCGTCAGTTTCTCTAAGGTCCGACATGTCAATGTCTATGCGATGCAACACGACGATTAGAAATCGAAAAGCTCCCGAAAGTTTTAATAATTCAACTGAAAAGGTAAGACGAAATGAAATAGACACATGCTCGACAGTATCATTCTGTCAAGATTTGAATTGAATTTCGACCAAAACTGGGTGAAAAACAATAGTCATGTCCATTATCCTTTGGATAGTTTTGATTTGAAACAGTACTGCTCTTCTTCTTCATCATCTTATACACTATATTCGGTTATTAATCATAATGGCACATTGAATGATGGACATTACACGACCTTCTGCCGAAATCTATCGAACGATTCATCTCCGTGGTTTGGATGCGATGATGATAAAGTTGAATGTTCATCTACCGATAAACTACTGATGAATACCAATGCCTATCTGCTCTTTTATATTCTCGGACACAGCAAAATAAACGAATAGGACACTATTCTTTCATCGCAAAAAGCTGTTGTTCTTAGTCGGTCTACTTTGACAAATATTATAAACTATATAATATGACAACAATTACATTCCATCAAATATAAAACTTCCAACCAATTGATATTTACGTACTTTTCTACTTTACAAAACAAATATTTACTAGCTTAAAACCTCATGCATAATCGCTCTTGACTTGTGTGTACTTATGTCTACTATAAGAGCGAATGAAATTTCGTCTATAAAATTTTCTAGTTCAAGGATGAGAGTCCAGTTGGTTTTTGCCAACGAATAATGTTGTCAGATTAGTAAGATTTCATCATAAAAAAACGCAATTCAAATCACTGATTATATTATCGAAAACTCCATGGATATGATGCCAATCTTGTTTTTCTTTCGAATAGGAAACCTTTGCGAATGTGTTATTAGAATTTCGATGACAAGAAAGCCTTTGATCGCTTCTCACAAAATCAGACATAGACTTATCGTTATGCTGACTCATTGTCGTGCCAACAAGACAGCGAGACATGTATGACGTAATCGTTGCGTAGGTTGTATGATTCCACGACTCCTGATGATAGCAACTACGCACAGAAGGAAACTGTTTGTAACAAATCTTGCGCAATAACGTCTACATAACATTACGTAATTCGATGATAAAGTGCATTTCTCTCTCTCTCTCTCTCAGCATAAAAAACGGAAACTCCAATGACAATAAAACACTGCATCTTAATTTTTTCTACAGAATTAGTAAAAAAAGAGATCGAATTCCACAGAGGTGATTCATTTTCCTCCATTTTCAATCAGAACAGGAAGAAAAGAATTTCATCATGTACAAACATGTATATATATACCTTCACTACGCATAAAATCTTTCATTTGTATTTCTTACTACTTACTCGAAACTTGACTTTATCTGCTAGATTATTCAGAATGACTTTACGTGTCACATCCACGCTTCTACGGCGTACAAGCTCATTGAGAAAAACAGTCGCTACCGTTCGAAAGACTTGGGATTCTTCTCCTTTACATAATAATGACGACGCGACGTACGGCTCCAATGAATTTATTCATCGACAGTTTTTTGTCGATGACAATTATCAAGCAATTATCAAATGTCTTAATGATGGTTATCAAGTATGCAAAGACATTCTCAGTTATCTACAAGCATATCACGATCTACAACATCAACATGCTGAAAAGCTTTCATCATTTACAACTGAATGGATTGCGAAATTAAACCAGCAACCAACGATCTCATCGTATAACACAACAAAACGTGCTCAAACTAAGATCATTCGTTCACCAAATAAACTCGCTCAACTAATTGAAGTCCGCTGTAAAGATATGCAACAAGTTATAGATACCTTTCGTGGACAAGTCGAACGATTGTATCCAAAAGAACGTTTAAGTCCTGTTCATAAACATTATCGAGCTGAACAAGTAAGACGATCATTCAAAGCAGCTCGTGCTTCTGTACTCAAGCTTTCCGAAACACTCGAAAAACTCCATGAACAAGAAGAACAAGCCAAAAATGCCCTACACGTAGCTGATGTTCAATGTGAAAACCTTAGTCTCGATCCAACGGCCAGTGCAAAAAAAGTGACCAAAGCGAATGATAATCAAGAAAAACGACAACTGGAATTGGAAGCTATTCAAGATCAAATTGCACGAACGGAAAAACAATATGCTCAAGAACAAGAGACCTACAAAGAAAGGGCCATGGAAATTTACAAAGAATGTCGACAATACGAACAAGAACGATTAGACCAAATTCGCGACATATTGATTAGCTTTACTCAAGCTGCTCATACACCGGATTACTCCGACGGTCAAGATGAAATCTTCGACGATCTTATCGAACATATCAAAACCCAACAGAATTCTCTTGAAGATCTGGACTTTTGGGCGAAAGTGTATGGTGTGACTCCAGCGGAGAAAGCAACATCATTCGAGCAGGCAAATGATGAAAGTAATACAACCACCATTGAATCTCGAAAAACGAAGAAATCTTCGAAAATTGATAATGACGTTTCCAGTGCAACAGCAGCTAACACACACCAATCGATTGACGAAGACGAAGGCGAACAATCAACAACCAATTCGAACAAAAACAAACAAACAAAAGTGAAGAAATCAACATCTGTTGATAAGAAAAGCAATTCAACCAGCGAATCAACCACCACAAAAATCTCTTAGATTTACACCACATAGTTGACCAAGACCAATCTAGAGAATGATGATCTACTTTTTTGTTTTGTATTTTTAGGCAAGATTTTTTTATATTCACTGTACAGTAACTGTTGAAACTTTTTTGTTATAAAATATATGCAATCCGTTTTTGTGTTATAAAAAAAGACTATGGTGAATTTTGTATTGAGTAAAAGAATAATAATTACATTTTCATTCGTTCTTTGTTTATACAGAACTAAAACAAGAGACAAAGAGCAGCAAATGCGCTTTGCCAGTCTTAGTCTATAATCTTTGTACTTTAAACGTGATCGTTATTAATGGCTGTAAAAGAATAAAACGAGAATTTATGTTTATTTCGACAGACGTCAAGTATCTTCCAAAACAATGCAATTGTATTTTAATAATAGACATGTGGTAAAACTTCTCGTTTCTTATTTCTGTTATTAATTGAGTCTTAAGTGCTTGAGTGAGTTAATGTTTAATGAAGTGGAATCAACAGAAACGGAAAGATCGTTCAGCATTTACATGGAAATAGTTTTTCATTCCATGTCAAAGATTATTTAGACTATTACGGTACTTAGAACGATTACTTCTCGAGGCTTAATACGATTAGATAATCGACAGGATGTTCGAAATCGTTTCTCCGAAATATCGAGGCATGAAAACCCTAAACATAGGAAATTCTTTTAATAGAATCAACCTCGAAGATACATATACATTAAGATCCTTTTTTTTCCTAAATATAATCGCACACGAGATGTGCTGCTCTGTTGTTGTCATGTATCTGGAGAAGAATGAAGTTCAATTTCGATTTGTATTCTTTGTAGTTTTGGTTGTGCTGTCATTTCGTTCAAAAGTTGTTTTTAGAAATACATAAATAAGGGATCACAGAGTAGGAAAAAAAACAAACGGAATGGTATCACACACACACACACAGATACATATACACACAAAAAGAACATTTAGGTTTTTATAATAAATAGAAAAAAATATCTAGGAAAAAGCATTTTGAAATTTGCTTGCCAACATATTCAGTGTTGGCCCTTGGGTCAGACTTGCCGGCAGTTTTTGTAGACTAGCAGGTAGTTTTGATTGTAGAGATTGACTTGTCATTGCAATGGTATTTTGTATAGAGTCCGGTAGCTTGTTTCTTAGATTAAATGTATTCGAATTTCGTGTACCAGCAGCAGCAGCATTCGTTGTTGTCGTTGTTGTTGGACCTTTACCTGGTAGAGTGCCGTTACGCACTGGTAAAGAGCTGGAAGATGATTGACCGGCATCGAAACTTGATGGATTACTGTACGACGACAATGAAGAATTATTTGCACTAGCTGTTGCTAAGAGATTTGATGTCGAACCTTTGTCACCATATTTTCTCTCATAGTATTTTCGAACGACATCAGGCGTTGCTGGTGCGCTCGAACCACCGGGAAGTCCTACTGATAAATTCCCATTAACAAGATCAGGCGAACGACTGGACATGCCTGGATTCTGTATCGTCATTTGCAGTTCATGAAGTTTCTTTTCCAACTGGAAATTTTCATTTTGAGCAGCCTGCAGTTCACGCCTGAGAGATGATGAAACAAGAAACATGATTTCGAGAGAACGTTAAGAAAATATGCATCGCATACATGATCTGCTGCTTTTGTTTTCGAACAATATCATCTAATGGTGAATATTCAGGTGAAAACATTAGATGTGAGAAGAAGATCTCGATTTCTATTGTCACACTGTGCTGTTCATTCAAATATCCACGTTCAGTTAACTAAATATCGAAGATTAACGAAAGTAATCGAAAGAATTGAAAACGTACCTCTTCGACGTCCAATGTAGTGCTGATTTCTAAGCCTTCATCACTGTCTTTTTGCGAATAATACTTCGTAACTGGTTTTTGAAACACACTTGTAGTTGTTTTCGTATCACGATAATTACGTACTGTGATATTGAAACATATCGATCGTAGATAATTAACTGGAATCTTAAATATATCTGAGTAGTATAAACGTATGATAAAGCATTGTTCTTCTATATAGGCTTCTACAGTCCACGCTTGTTGATCCTTATCAAGAAAAGATAATGGGATAGGATTGGGTGCAAATGGATTGACAATAATTGGGAAGACAGCTAAAGAAATATCATTCATGAACAACAGTTCACTAGCTTTCGGTCAAACTCTACTTACTAACAGCATCTTTGAGTTCAATAGTTAGTGTAAACTTTCCATTTGCTTGTAGCAATTCTCGTACCCGATCAATTCGATACGGCCGGCATAGACCGTTAATATCGGTATAGTTGACTTCATAGGGATTACTATCATTCGAGTTTGTTGCTTTTTTCTCTTGGTTCGGATCCCATGTATAAGATCCCGCAGTTATCTTTACTCGATAGGTTAACTTAACTGAATGATCACAGGATGTTAAACGTTGAATGAACAGCCGGAAATGTCCAAGTTGTCCGACACTATCCAATTTCGGTTGAATGACAACGCACCATTCGTAATTCGAATAGAAAAAAGACGGTGTGTCAATTTTGGCATCAAGTGGTTGTCGATTCTGTGTTGGTTGAATAACGTGGGCATATTGTGGATTGATTAACTGTGGTGGTAATTGTATTTCCGTGAGATACGAAACAACCAGATTCTTAATTTCTAATTCACATTGAATATTACCCCGTTCATCCATAAAATCCACCGAACATAGACGATTGATTGATGTAAACGACTTTCGTCCATGTAATGTCACTTTGCTCGTAAACTTACAGCTTTTCTCCACAAACGATTCATTTCGTGTGAAATGTTCTCGACATAGTAATGTGACACTTAAATCAAGTGTCATCTCTAATGTTTCTGTATCACGACTACGATGCAGCAGAAATGCATTTAATTGATCTCCGTTTTTAACGAACGTTAACGCAAATGGAACATTTCGACAAATGAACTCTCGTGTAATTAATTTTTCATCTGTTCCTAATAGAAATGAACTTGGAAGAATGAATGTAAACAAGCTACAAAGAGAAACAATGAATTCTAGTTTGTATGGTAGTTTTTCTTACTTCGTATTGAACTTATCTTCAAAGGAAACGAAACGTGTAAAGTGTGCCATGTAATTAAACTATATCATGGTATTGATCTGAAATTAAATGTAGGCGCTGTTTAATTACAAAGACAGATTATTTTTACGAGCAGTTGAACATGCGCAGTGAAATGTAGTGAATGGCATGAATAGCTCGAATCCATGTCAAGCTAGGTCCACACGTTTATTTCACAAAAGCACTATTATGATTATCTTAAGTAGCACGAAGAAAGAGGCTGTTTTTCCTTTGAAAAAGGTTTTACAATACTTAACCGAGATGGTAATTTTCTAGCGTACAGTCGGGACTTTTTTTTATTCTATTTTTGAATGAATTATTCAATCAATCATAAAAAATACTATTTAGAGACAGAAAAGAAAGAGAGTCTCTTGAATTGTGTTTCTTGTTTTGTGGAAAATCTCGAGTGTTTCTGTAATTACTCTTGTTTTCGTAGGAGAAAAGACATTCTCATCTATACAATAGAAATTATAATCGGTTTGTTCTTAGAGATTGAATCTTATCAATTGTAAATAGCCGATTTAATATTTGTATGAGAAAAAAAAAGAAGAGAAAAGAATGAAAGAAAGTTAGATGATTAATCCAAACATTATCATTAACGAGCCTATCTATCATTTCTTTTGTGTTTGTCATATTCGTTTACATCACGAAAAATCCGCGGGGAATTGACGTTTATAGTTAAGGTTTTATTTCGCAACACATGATAAATAATATACAAGTTTCTTCCTATGATGAATGACTAGCAACAGAAGAGAATAGAAGACGATCAGATAGTAACTCCGAATCTTCGAAACGGAAAGCGAGTCGACTGATAATCATTACATTTGAATCATATACTGATGTGTAAATAAATCTTCTCTAGCAGTGTGTCCAACAAGTTATTCAGACATTTCTTCTGGGGGGAAAGGGTTCTTGACACATAATTGGTGATGAGCAGGAAAAAAAAAGAACGAGAAAGAAGAATAGTTGCCAAGATGCTTCTTTATGAAATGAAGAACTATCTAATCATTCTAAGCAAAATTTCGATGCCAATGAGATAAATTAGAGGGGGTCAAGAAGACGTGAGTCGTTTTGTTTTTCTTTTTTCAAGCCTGATACAGACGGATCAATGACAAGGAGAGAAAAATAAGAGGAGAGAGAGAGAGAGAGAATGTCTCTTTTCTTTTTCCGCTTCTCTTTTTTTTGTTCGATGTTCACTTTTGAAGCCTTTCAAATATTGGATCCCAAACGGATGTCCGTCTCAAATGAGCTGTGCCTTTTCTCCAGCTAACTACACGTCTTCGATGATCTTCTCGTGCTATCATTATGAAGATGAACACGCATTCACTTTGAACTATTAGCCAGATATATACGACTAAATTGTTTCGCCACTGAATAGAATATTAATGTGTGAGAAAAAAAACTGAGAGAAAGACAAAAATAGTTCATTCATTAGAGATTATATACTTACAATTCTCAGCATTATCATTGTCTATTTATCGATGTTCATGCCTCGAGTCTTTCTCTGCTAACTGATTGTGATCATACTCGTTGGCTGCATGAATGCACATACATATATATATACATCCAAAAAAAAAACGCGAGTCTAGAGAGAAAACTATTTTTCTTCCTTACTACTTTGACTACTAGTGATGCATGGTAAAAAAGCACCGAGAGAACATAAAGAGAAAGAAGAAAATCTCTGAAATCTATTAAATGAACGTTACTCGGCATCGTCGTTGCTGAAAGCAAAAAAGAAAAGTGATGTTAATATGTGTATGTTTAGATCATGATATTTAAATGTTCATCACTTTTTCCAATAGTCTTCTTCAATTATGACGCATGATTATTTGTATTGCCATTGTTCTTTAGCGTATAATCTTGATGGCTTTCTTTTTATTTAAGTTGATGTTATTTTATTCGACGAGTAAAATAGGTGAAAAGAAAAGAAGTCTCGAAGTCTTGCCTGAGATGATTTGCCCTGTTGGTAAATGAACGAACGAACGAAGAATGGAATTGTTTCTCGCTCCTTTTCTTGCATGTTCTTCTTCTTCTTCTTCTTCTCCTTCTTCTTCTTTTCCTCATTCTGTCTTTAGATTGCCGTCATCAGAAGAATAGTAAGGAAAAATTGAACATGGCAACATTCGGAGCTTTCTCCTTCTCAGCAACAAACGCACGCAAGGGCGCTAAAGTGAATGAGAAGTTTCTATACGTAGGCAACGCTAGGAGCATGTTAGATTTAGATGCTAAGCATGAAGAGGGGAAAGCAAGCGCGAATAAGAAGAGAGAGAGAGAATAAGACAAAAAAATGTTTAATAGATTTTCTGTATGCGTGGCTCAGGCTAGGCATCGTTGTTGTCTCGATAGTCATAAACATATAAAGACGAGTGCGAGAATAAAAGAGCCTAGTAAACTTGACTGAGTATGTTGCACACCCATCCGGCCGAGACCATTTTCCTCTCTTTCTTTTTATCGACGATTTTTTTTGGGTATGTCAGCTTTCCGCGTCGAAAATGTAAACTACGGTCTTTTCCTTGCTTCAATCAACACGAAGCACGGCAAATATCATTATGAATACAAAAACTATCTCACAGTCAACATTGACACACTATAGTTTGAGTAGAGATGTATATTGACAAGTAAAATAACAAGAAAAGGAACTACTAGTTTTAGCGGAACATCATGAGCAAGAGAAGGAGAAAGATTTTGTGTCAGTCAACGGCAAATTCTATTCAAAAGAACAGCATTGACATTGTGATCGTTCTCGATGAAAATCGATTATGTTATTCATTGTCTTATTTATATGATAATTTAATTATCTATTCATCGATTAGGTCTAATATGTCTTTTGCATATGAAATAAAATTTTATTGGCAAGGAAAAAAAACAAGTGTTTGCATTACAGTTGATACTTTTCGTGTATCGATTGTTAGAACAACTTGATGTATTGATGGAGATATCCTTTTGCTTGACTGAAAATGAAACTGACATATAAATCAACATTGTCAGAACGAAATGTAACCTTAGTTAGTCAAACTCTATTTATCTCGATGTGCAATTGATAAAGAGCATTGAAACTGACATTAACAAATAATTCATTCAACAGAAACTAATCAATAGCGATCTTGATGACAAAAACATCGACGATGTTTTTCTTTATCTTCTCGGTACATTTCGTCATACTCATGCTTCATAAGTGAATTTTTGTGTGTATATATCAATTATCATTGAAATTATTTCATCGGTGAAGTTTCTCTCTTTTTCTCACTAGTGATTGATTAAAAAGAAAAACGATTTTTAATTCTTTTTTTTTCTTCTGCTTCAATTTTTCTACTTCTCGTCATCTCCACCTATCAACCTACGGGTGCCCATTGAGAGTATTACTTTGTTTCTATTGACAAACGCTTTATTTTTTCATTTTTTTTTTCACATTCTCTCTTCGCTCTTGTACAGAGTTGAGCAGGAAAAAATTAAGAGTGGCATTTTTTCAATCAATAGCATTCTTGACTAACATAAAATCACTTTGCATGCACAACAAGAAATAAACTTGTAATCGTTTACAAGAAATTTATCAAACATGCCGGAATTATTTACTCTGCAGTCAGCGATACATAACCGGAAAAATTCCAGCTTTCGACAATCGTCTAAGCTTCTCAATTATAATCAGTCTACAAAGAGACCATCAAAAAATACATACCAAGAACGAACTGAGATATACTATGTGCCTGAAACGACGAAGAATGGACCCATATATAACAAACAACCACATAAATCACCTACACCATCGGTACACAGCGATGATCTAATACCAGATGATGAGCCAGGTCTGTATCATTTACCAACTTCGAACCGAGCTAATCGACCGACAGCAAGAAAAATTTATTATAAACCTCTCCGGTATGAACCAAAGTATGTGGCACCACGGAATAAACCACTTACGCCTCCAGTTCGAAAGGCAAATCCTGCACCAGCACCACCGTTAACAAAATCTACGCGAACATCGACACCGCCGATGAGAAAGTCGACTCCACCGTCGCCATTGCCAGTTACTCAGTCCTATCCGACACCCTCGCCGTCGCCACCGACTGTGACTAGCTATCAACCATTGATTCTGGGTGCACCTGAGCTGTACCATTTGGACAATGATAAAGCTGTTTACCGTCAACCACCACCAGTGCTACAACAACCATATAAATCGCCATCGCCGCCGCCGCCACCACCAGTGCTACAACAACCATATAAATCGCCATCGCCGCCGCCGCCACCACCAGTGCTACAACAACCATATAAATCGCCATCGCCGCCGCCGCCACCACCAGTGCTATCGGCCAAACAATCTACTCCGCCTCCACCGCTATCAGCTAAATTAACCACACCACCGCCACAATTAATTAAACCTTTTAATACTGGAGCTGAATTGTACCATCTAGACCAGGAGGATATTGTATATCCGCCAGTGTCTGAAGAGCCGAAACGTGTAGAATCATCTTACAAAGCTCCACCACCAGCATCTGCTCCTAAATTGACTGCACCGCCGCCTGCCAGTATCGGACCCGAATTGTATCATCTGAATAAAGAAGATACTGTATACCCAATAGTGTCTGAAGAACCAAAGCACACTGAACAACCACACAAATCACCACCACCGCCACCCATTCAAGCAATTTCTCCACCACCTCAACAGCTGATGTCGAAATTGAATACGCCACCACTTCAACAACCGGAGTTCTATCACATGGATTTCAACGGAGCAGATCCAGAACCCATTCTTTCTGACTCCAAGCCTGTTGAACCGTCTTATCATTCACCTTTACCATCGGCTAAAAAGTCTTCTCCACTACCAGTCGATGTACCTCCTCTACCATCTCAAAATGGACCGGAATTGTATCATATCAAAGTTGACGTAAGTGACAGTCCGCCAGTTCTTCAAGAACCACCACATAGAACACCTACTCCACTTCCTACACCAGTGCTTAGTAAACCTACTTCGCCACCACCACGATCGCCACCACTACCACCACCGCCAACACAGAACAAGCCCGAATTGTACTACATAAAACTTGATGAACGACCTGAATCGCAAGTAGCACCACCGTCAAAACCGGCAACTCCTAGAGTACCTTCCGGTAAAAATCGAGTTTCACCTATGCCTTCTGCAACATCGCTTATACCAGGCCCAGAAATGTATTATTTGCAAACAGTTGTTGACGAAATCAGTCGACCACCATCAGTTCATGAAGTCGTTACACCAGAGAAGGCACCTACGCCAAAACCAGCCACACCTCGTCCCATCCTTACCAAAGCACGAACACCTCCTCCAAGAGTATCAACACCGCCACGACCACGACGTCGTACACCTACTCCACCACGCCGGCAACGAACACCCACACCCCCTCGGCGACGATCTCCAGTCGGACGTCCAATACGCACCGCTGCTCCTCTCGTAAGTGACGTATCAAAAATATCTATTATATATCCCTTTCATTTCTCTTTAGGCTCTTCCGAATCGTAAACCAAAGCGACCTATTTATGATGATGATGATAATTATGTAGATAATATTCCAACTAGACGGCCGTCATTTTCTACAGCGCTTCAAGATGTATTAACATCGGATCGTACCGTACCTTTATCAACTTCAAAAGCATCGGACAGTATCATACGAAGTATGAACAAGTTTCGCTTTCCTGAAGAGTAAATTTTTATTTTATGTACATAAATTTATGAATAGAAATACAGACAGTTAAAGAAATTTCAAAATAACTTTTCATTTTCTTTGATATCTATATATTGTCAATTGTAAGTATAGAGGTATTTATTCATCGGTAGGCTCATTTTCTTCATCCGTCTTGTGGCATCGTGTTAACTCGAATAGGCTCAGCATGGATATCTACAAAAAAGAAAATATGCAGAAAAACGTTGTGTGACATCAAAGGTAATAACTAACAGATCCGGATGGAACAGCTGGAAGTTTGAAAATCGATGGAGGTTGAGTTAATCGAGGTTCTCTTGTACCTAACGATTTATTTCGTAAGACAAATGCTTGAGAAAACAAAACTCATGTGTCTAAGTTTACCGATCGAATGAAAGTATTGATACGCTCGAGGATTATAAACATGATTCGATTGTGATGGCATAAACACACCAGGTAAACACAAATCTACAACGAAAAAGTTGTTAGAAGATGAAAAGAAATAGTTTACCATCGTATGCGTTATTAGACTGAGATTTATAGAGTCGATGTTGAATTTCCATTTGACGTTCATTAATTAGAGATGTTTGTCTTGAAACTTTAGTCATTAATTGATTTCGATGCATTGAACGTTGTTGCAAATATATTTCATTACGGTCGAGAAACTAGAAAACGGTCCACTTTATGGTTTCGGGTATTATGATTAGAAAATTTGTTAAGAGAATCGAAGCCTTTCTCTACGGCATGGTTATTTGATCAATCCGAATAAAAGTGCAAATGTATTTGTTTTATTACTTTATTAATTATTCAATAAAGTATACATTATTTTGCACTTCAAACATATATGAGCACCTTGATACTTCCTACTCTCTATTTTATAATAAATACAATCTACAGGTTAGCAATGAGTCATAACAGAGTCGATTCAGCTTTCGATAACTTACACTATCTGATGAGTTCCGTTCGGATGAGTATCTTTGCTGACGGTGTTTGTTTTTCGATTCTGATTTGGGCCGTTGTCGTCTAGAATTGTAAACTAATCAATTGCATTTTCAAGCCATTCTCCTAACCGTATGTAAATGTTTGACACTCCTGCATGATGTGTTTCCAAGATATTTTCACTACTATTTGCACCATCGATCATTCGACTCGATTGCCGTGATAGCTTCTCGTGGAGAAGTTCTGTTAGTCTTTGAATTTCTGCCCTAAAATAATAATTTGTCAAAAGTATCTTTAAAAACAACATACTGGTATTCGTCATGAATTTGTATAATTTTATTTTCATAAGTAGTTGTCATAGCTTTGATACGATCATTATCAATCGATTTAGATTGCTTCATCACACTTATTTGTGATATTGGATTTTCCTCCATCGAAGTGGTCACTGAAAACAAAATAGTTTGACATTCGCGTTCAAGAATATTATAAAAGTGTACTAGTAGATTTAGTTGCTTGTGTATTTTCAATTTTGTCATACCAGAACATGAGTAAAGGTAATTCAGCTACCGATTCATGTTGATCATCGTAAATTGAAAATGTCCGAGGAGGAATCGATAGACAGGCTTGATAAACTTCATTGGATGGTTGATCTAGATCAAGTCGGATATTTTTCCTTGGAATATTATTATTATTATCCATAGCAATGAAAGGAGAAAAGATTTGGTTGTTTAAAACAGGCAAATCCTAAAGTTTTGTGTTTTTTAAGTACTTATTGATGCATACAATCTTACAAGTATTTGCAAATCTTCGTATGAGAACACGACACATCCAAACAGCTTTCTATCACCAAGAACATCGATTCTGATACTGTTTATATCGACATCTCTCTGCTTTAGGTTTGACACGGGCACAACAAGTTCGTCGTACTGTTGTCGATCGATTTCGATATTTTCTTTCGTAGCTAAACGTATGAAATGATCCGATTAACTCGAATTCATAGAAGACAGTTTACCATTACTGATTGATTTGTTGGTTTTCTAAATAGAACATATTTTGATCAAGAAGAAAGGATTACAAAACAAATACATTGAATTTCCATTCTTTTGTTGGATAGGATTGTCCTTGTGAATGAACAATACATTGAAATGTTGTTCGCATAATTTCTATCGGTCGATAGATACGCATGAGAACTAATCTACAATGAGTATGAAAGTGAAAATTGAACGATTATTTGCTGGAGTTTACTTCGTTGAGAATTTATCATCAGTCGAGGTCTGTTGATCGTCAAAATCTGGTTGTGCCTGTACTTCACTATCGACCATAACTATCGGTGAAGCTGACTGAACATGCTCGTATTTTGATGATCTAGCACTTTGATGTGGAGCAGTTTCATCATTATGGTGATCTATCTGATCTTGTTCAGGACTCTAGAAGAATCACATTCATTTCAGATTTCTTCAATTAAATGTAGACAAACATAGTCAATCGGTTGATTGGGCTCTTCTATTTCTGGTACACTGCTTGCATTGTCATCTGAATCATCTTCTTGGTCTATGTTTTGTTCACCAATTGATTCTTCGTCGTCGGAGAGCTCCGGTGAGGGTGACACTGCTCGTGATGCAGCTGTATGAAGCCAGTCAATCACATGTTCATAGCCGAGTGTGGCTTTCTAATAATAAAAAATTTTCGTCGAAACAAGTTAGTTCGAGTTTGTCTTTTACTTCATGGAAAGTTTCGAGACGAAATTTCCATTTCCGCACAGAAGATCGCGGTAGAGCAAGATGAAGATACCTAAAATAGGGTAATTGTAAAGTTACACGTCAATGAAATTAGAAAACAAACAATTTCTCCCAATTGTCAATAATTTTTTTCTCGCGGTGTTCTTCGACATGTTTTTCCCCAGCTGTAATTCTTTGTAGAGCAACATCCAACATGCGTTTTTTCATTTCATCACTATCGTACAATCTTTTGAAGAGACGACATCTTTGATTGAATAAATCATTGTGCAGTTGAACAAGATCAATAAGTTCGTAGACAGGTATCTGTGTTTGAGAGTAAGCCCGATAGAATCGCGACAGAACTAATGTGATACGTAGTAAAACTTTGGCTGGAAGACTTTGAAGCAGAAGTTGATCTTTCATTTCGAGTAATTCAAACATCGAATTGTCAATCAGAGCAAAACAATTCTGAACATTATCACATAGCATCAGAAATCTATTAGTATTGATATTCGTGTCGTCTGGGATTATTATTTCATTCATTTCTTTCTTCAATACTTCAAATAACAATGCAAATTCTTACTTTTCTTCATTAGAATAATTCTTCACTGAGTTTGCTTGTCAAAATTCTTTTTCTACCTTCTCGGCATGCCATGTCATATATTCCAAGGCAAACCATGACTACAAGCTGTTTTTCTTTTCTTTAATTAAATGTATATATATATTTCTTTATTTAATCTAGCAACATAAAGACGTACAAGCATAATTAAGACACAATTGTACAATATACAAACAGTAGAGCAGGAAGAGAAAAAAAGGAACAAGGCAGATGAATATTTAAGATGAACGACGGTGAGAAATAGCGTCGAAGACATGCACGCGTATTGTATTTACATTCTAAGCAAAAAATAAGAATCTACTGTTGCAAGCCCTTGCAGTGTTGAATTAGTTCACAACATGGAGTGATGATCGGCTGATTCTTCATCAAAGCCGATTGCTCGATTTCGAGCTTCAAAATAGAATGTATCCGAATCATTATCAGGTGCGGGAATAAATGGTGCAGGAGCATTGGCAAGATTGTCCCAATCAATTGTATCAAAGAAAGGCTCTTTTTTCAAATCTAAATCAATAAGTAAAGTTTGACTAAATAAAGATATGTTTCATGTTGTTGCTTACCGTCTAGTTGAAGTCGTAAACTAGGATCGTAACTAAGTAAACCTTTGATGACACTGATGGCATCATCATCTAATTGACTCTCATCATCCTCTGGCCATAGAATTCGATAATTTAAAATATTGGAGATTATTGCACGTGGACATTCATCAGAGAAAGGTGTTACACCAACTAGAAATTGAAACAGGCATACACCGAGTGCCCAAAAATCAACGGCTGAAGCTAGAAAAGAAATCCAACACAAACAATTAGCTTATCTCGAAAGATTCTTGTTCACTCACTGTGATTTTCATCTTGTAGCAAAATCTCTGGACCTAAATAAATGTTCATCGCCATAGTATAAAGATAGAATCTATCGAAAGAGATACTTACTGAGGTAGTCTGGTGTACCCAAAACAGGTCCTGAAACATTGGGATGGATTGGTGATCGAAGAAAACTACTTCGAATAGAAGTATTATTGGTGACATCGCTTAGGATTCGACCAGTGGACACATTTTGCGCAAGACATACCGACTAAATGAACGAGTGAAATTTGAAATCGACTGGTTAAATCCTAGGATACAAACTTTAACTGAACCATCGTCCGTTGGTAATGAATGATGTTGTATATTATCCACTGGTTCTTCTTCGATAGGCTGTGCTTGGATATGATTAATCGATGATATGTCCAGTGAATATCGTATAGGTGATAAACATGGTGATGCTGAGATCGGTGCAGCAAGTGTATTCGCCGTCGTTGGATGTAGAGTTTGTCCCATACCGCGAAATACACGAAATTGATTCTGGTGAGCAGGCGATGATGCTAATAATCTTGAAATGGTTTTCGGATAGATACGTGGCTGTTGCTTCACAGTTTGTAAAGTCGTTGGTGATCGTCCTTTAGGACTGCAAAATAAAAAATCGGATATATTGCTTGTGCTAGCCTCGTCATGTTCATCGAGATCATCATTTCCAAATGAAATCGGTTCATTTTCCGGTATACATAAAGGTAACGGTTGACGATATACACGTAAACTACAATCAGCAATACGCGACGAAGAAAACGAACGATGATAACTATTATTAATTGGGATATTCTCGTTCGATGTTGCACTAGCTGGATTGCTATGCACTGATGTTGATATGTGTAGGTGTTCTGAATCTGATTCACTCGATGACTAAAATAATCGAGTGAATACGGTCGTGGTATGCGAAGAAAGGAACTTACAAAACTGAAATCCGATGTTAGAGATATGATTTGACCGGGTGTACGAAAAACTCGGACTTTACATACTGACGGTGTACCGATAACATCAGCAACAGACACTTCTGAAAAGAAATAATTGAAATCATGTCACCTTCCTGTTCCATTCAACATACTTCGTCTATTTCGAATTTCCGATAGACCAAAATCGGTTAATTTGATGTGTCCAGTTGATGATATTAAAACATTATCTGGTTTTAAATCTCTGAAGAGGACAAAAACAGTAGTCTGACAAAATGCTTTCTGTTTATATAAGATCCGCTTCCATACCTATGAACAACGCCTTTTCGATGTAGATAGTCGAGCGCAAGGGCAATTTCCGCTACATAGAATTGTGCTTCATGTCTTTCGAGTATTTGTTTAATGCAAAGAAACGACATAAGATCTCCTCCGATCATGTATTCCATCACTAGATATATCTCATCTTTTGTTTGCAAGGAATAGAATAGCCGAACAACAAATTGACTATGCATGGTAGCTAATGCATCACGTTCATTGAGAACTAATTCAAAGAAAACCTAATTGTAAGAAATTTGAAGTATGCAATTTCCTTACTTTGATCAATTAAGTTCTTTTTTCGTATATCATGTTTATTGATAACTTTAATCGCGTATTTCGTCTCATTTTCATCATTTTTCTTTGTAGCTAGATAAACTCGGCTGAATAAAAAACAAAAGAACTGATTTTCATATACATTGCGCAGATAAGATTGACTAACCCGTAACCACCACGGCTGATTGTTTTTAGAAAATGAAAATCTTTGATAGTTGGAAGCTGAAACAGATCAAAGCAAAAATGTGGATTATTTGCACAAAAAAATATTTCGTAACGTACCTGAAGTTTACTCTTTTCGATGGTCATTAGTAAGAAAGAAGAAAACGAGATGTTGATCTGAAAAGAAAGTTGAACATATGTAAACCGTTAGAAATAAAAATGTTTCCCTCCAATCGAGAACAAAATGTCCAAACAAAGGACAGATTGCATTCTTCTTTTTGCTTAGATGTCGCCAAGCGTAATGTCCGAACAGTCATCAACGAAAACAATGTGTTATTTTTGAAGATTAACAGAATTCAATGGCCCTATTCGCATATCAGCGGGAGTATATATATATATATTTAAGAAAATATAAATGACATTGAATGTGATTACTATGTTACATATTTGGCAAGAGTTAAATGTTCCGCAAAATACGAATTGAAGATTATTTTAAAATATTTACAACATTGTTATTCTTGTTCTTTGATTTGCTGTAACATGATTTCCTGCTGGCTACGCAGAAGACGCTTTTTCGCTTGTTCACGCGCACTTGTGTAACTGAAGTCTTCGATTGTATCATCATACAAGACAGCATAGTCAATATCTTTGCTATCACTTGTGCTAGTTTCTTCTTCAAATTCACTGGTCGATGTGGTCTCTTTCTCTTGGAATTCTTCTTCTTCTTCTGATGATGATGATGATGAACTATCGGCATGATGTCCTTTCAAAGAAGGCTTTGATGATGTATGTGATGAAAATGATCGACGAAGCTGTTCGCATGAGTTGTGCTCAGATGAAGCTGCCAGAACAATAGGCGTGACATGCTCTAAAGAAAACGAATAGAACAATCTGAATAAGAAAATCTTCTCACTTACCTAGGTTCAATACAAGTGATCGCTGTCGTTCGCGTTTCTTTTGTATGGGCTCGTTCTCCAGATCGATTACTGGACTATCCGCAGGTATACTTTCGTCGCTAACGGTCGTTTCCGAAGCCGCTTTAGTTCTTAACGTAGTGGCAGATTTCGCGTCGGATAAAACTTTTTTAGTGGCAACAGCCGCGGCTTTGATGATTTCTTTTTTATTTTGATTGTCTTGATTGAGCGCTTTGATCGACATTTGTTCAAGTTTTTCTAGTGCTGCCTTTTGTCGTTTTGTTAAACTCGCACCGGCCGCTGTCTCATTAGAAGCTACAGGAATATCTGTAGAAGCAATTGTAACCGATTTCTTCCTGTCCGATGAGTGGCGACGAGTTTCTTTCCTCTTATAATCAATGATATATATCCGAATTTCATATGGATGAAATTTGAAAGACACTTGATCCTGAAGTGAACCAATATTATGATGGAATGTCAGTGATTTCCGATAACTTCTTACCTGGTGTTCGGGTATCGGCTCAATCAAATTCGAAAGTACTAATTGTGACGATGATAAGCCTTGAAACAGCGTAAACTGTGCTACACGATCGGTTAAGTTTGTCAGAACGTAAGCTCGTCTTGTATCCGATGTTCGTGTGTACCCATAGACCTGTTGGTGACTTGAAAGAATCAAATCATAGACCCCGTATATGAAGACATCGTTTTCTTTTCGTAAACGGATGAGACGTTTATAAAAATTCAATACTGAATTTTCATCTTTTTCCTGCTGAGCGACATTTATTCGTACGTAATTTGGATTGATACCAATCCAGGACTGTTGAGCTGTAGTGAAACCAGCGTTTAATGAATCATCCCATTGCATAGGCGTACGAGCATTATCACGGCCAGTGATATAGATAATTTGCATGATTTCGTTATGATCGATACCTTTCGCTAATTCAAGATTGTAGAAACTTTTAGCGGCCACGTCGGGATAATCATTAATTGATGGGAAACGTACATTAGTCATACCGATTTCTTGTCCTGAAACATTCATATTTAGCAGAAACAAACGAGAAAGTTAAAAGTCTTTTGCAAACCTTGATAAATGAATGGTGTTCCCATCATAAGCATATAGAAAGTGGCAAAAGCAGTTGCGCATTCTCGCCAATATTCTTTGTCATTGCCCCACGTCGAAACTATTCGTGGTTTATCATGGTTTTCAATGAACAGAGCGTTCCAACCGTTTTTTTCCAAGGCTTTTTCCCATCGAGTCATAATACGTTTCAATGCCAGCACTAAAATTCTCCTTTCGTTCATATTCTCTTCTCTGACTATTTCGGTCTTCTTACCATCTAAAGTGCCCAATGTTTTTTCCCAGAGATTAGTACCTTCAAATTGAAATATCATATTAAATAACCCATTTTCTTCGTCTACCCAATCGATTGCTTGATCTGCGCCAACACCATTGGCTTCACCCACACTGACCACATCGTATTTACCATATGTACCACTTTTAAATTCACGCAAGTGCTCTTCGATACCTTCAACATTCATATGATAATCAAACGAGGAGACGAATTCCAAATGTTTTGGATTGGGTAAGTCAGGCAATCCAGGCTTTTTCTTGATGTGTGACACAGCATCAATACGGAATCCATCGATTCCTAAGACGAAATCGAGATTTAGATTTCATTGGTCGATCGTGTGTGTTTACCTCGTTCAAGCCACCAACAAGTAACATTATACAATTCTTCTCGTAGTTCTTTACATTCCCAATTAAGATCGGGCATTTTACGTGAAAATAAATGTAAATAATATTGGTCTGTTTCTTTGTCGTACTCCCAAGCGGAGCCATTGAAAATACTTTCCCAATTATTCGGACGCAAACCACCCGCTTTACCATCTCGCCATATATACCAATCACGTTTCGGATTCGTACGGGACGATCGAGATTCAATAAACCAAGGATGTTCACTACAACAGCTCAATGTCGAAACGATTTCTTTCTTCATTTTATACATGCACTTACTCGCTGGTATGGTTCATGACCAGATCAAGAATAATGCGCATCTTTCTTTCATGAACACTTTGAATAAGTCTATCGACATCTTCCATTGTACCGAAAACATCCATTATTTGTTTATAATCAGATATATCGTATCCATTGTCCTTAAAAAACGAAAGAGTATCATCGTGTGTTTGCTCTACAGAAAGAAAGACAAAATATTCGCACATCATTTGGGCTTTTATAAATCGGACAAATCCAGATGAGATCAGCGCCGAGATCTTTAATATGATCCAGTCTTTGTATAATCCCTAAAAGAACAACGAATTAGAAATTGGACTTTCACAAAATGCCATCTAGGAAAATCTACCTCCGATGTCACCGATTCCATCACCATTGGAATCTTGAAATGATCTTGGATAGATTTGATATGCAATAGATTCTTTCCACCATTGACGTCGAAGTTTGGTCTTGGGAAAAAATGACGACCTTCCGAATTTTGCTTCATACCCATCGATCACTGTAGGAATCGGTTCATCTATAGTCGGATTTTCAATTACATCGGGCATTGTACTAATCTATTATGATAAGAAGAAAAGAAAACAATGATCTCATTGGTTTAATGATATATTGTCACATGCAATACGATCTTTCATTTTATTCATTTATCATAAAGCTTGAGAAGTAGATGATATCATGCATGAATGTTTATTCATCGTTCATACAAATGACAATCGATATCGCCATTCATAATCAATTTCAATCAAATATTCATTATCAAAGAGTTTTTTCTTCCCAGCAATTTAGATATACATGAAATGCGTACAATGACTAAATTTACAGAAGAATTTCTCCGAATCTTTGTTGAATAGACAAAGAAATATCTCTATCAGTTATCAGTGCATTCATTTATCACATTAACCTCCGATAATATCAGAAAATAAGTTGACAATATTTTATCACTGAATTGAACATTGTGCCTAGAGCAATAATCATAAACGATATCGACAATTTGTTTTATTGTCCGTGCTTGTCGATGCTTACACGTGCGATATTTAGAAAAAAACACACACACTAGACAACATCTCGGTTAGGCTAGATTATCATATATGACACTTGATACGTCCATTGTAAATAATACACATTGACAATAAGCACAAGACAAATATTCATTGATATCNGTAATATAAGAAACTGACAAACATTCGATACCGATTACTTTCCTTTCTCTGCCTTTGCAAATACATTAGCAAAAGCTTATCTAAATCAAAGAAATGATAAACAATTCCTAGTCAATGTCAACGGCTATACGTGGTTCATTTTCGAGTAAAGAAGTCGAAGATTAATCAATTGATTATTATTCATGAAAACAAGTGATTAGAAAGAGATCTTTATCATCCAGCTTTTGTACTATGTTAATCATCCATTTCGAGGTTGACAGACTCTTTTAATATTATTCTAACAACAATGACTCATTAGGAAAATTAGATCTAGTCTACTGAATTCTCGTTCTTTCACATTAGTTGAAAGACTAATCTGCATATACACAAGAATCGAAAATTAACTTGCATAAGAACTTCTACATTCTATGTCATGTGAAATTCTTTCAAGGTCAAATCGACTAAATCCCTGCGATAAAATGATTATTGTCAAATTAGACAGGAAACGAAAGTAAAAGTCGTATAATCAGTTTTAGAAAATCGTGGCATTAAATCAAGAAGCATGCTTGATTGCTTGACTAGGTCGGTACCTGGTAAAACAATAGAGCGTGCAACCATCAGTAGAGTTAACTGATACGACAGATTCATTCATGCAATTTCGATATGTTGCATCAAGAGTGAATCGATTTTACATCACTGACATCTCTCAGTGACAACTAAAACAGAGTTACTTGTGTGTGCGTGTGTGTGTTTTACACATTATGATTCATGACAAGGCTTGACAAATTACCAATGATGATGCAATGACTCACGTTTTTCTTATAAATATGAAAAACGTTTGTTTTAGTTCAAATTAAAGAAGCGCAATACGATGTCGTTTGATATAGACGATAAACAATTGTTAGATGATGAAAAACTTCTGGCTAGTCAAGTGAAACAACTTGAGTTAGTTAGTGATCAACGTCTCGACCCAGCGTATCCATTTGTTGTTCGTCTGGATGGTGTTTCGTTTCGAAATTATACGCGTGGCTTCAAAAAGCCGTTTGATCAACGTATGACTCGGGCATTTATTCGTACATCTGCTGATTTACTTCAACGATTCAGTCCGTTGACGATCTTCTATGAGTCCGATGAAATCTCTCTTGTCTTCAATGCATGTCCAATGCTCGAATCATCTGAGAAACATCCTCGCGAACACATGTACTCTGGTCGAATACAGAAATTAGTCTCCGTGCTTGCTTCGTATACAGCAGCAAAATTTAATAAGTACATCAATGAAGAAGATTGGTCAGATATAGAAAATCCTCACGTGCGTGAACGTCTTCAAGCACATTCGGCCTATTTCGATGGTCGAGCTTTTACCGTGCCTAATGTGTTTGCTGCTATGGCATCGATCTATTGGCGTCATCGATATGATACATTGAAAAATGCGACATTAACGTACGCATTAACTCATTATTCACAAAATGCTATCCTGGGAAAAAGTCCACATGAATTACGTGATCTGATGCGTGCGGAAAAGAATTGGGATATGCTTGCTGATGCACCGAAGAATATTATCTATGGTACATTCTTAAAAAAAGAATTGTACGATTTAGAAAGCGTGGATCGCAAAACTCAACAGAATGTTATTGTCAAACGCAGTCGAGTACGTGTTGGATCATTTAGTATGAGCAAATTGTTAGCAAACAATCAGGACAAAGTTGAATTTATTATGAGCAAATATTGGAATGAAGGAAACCCTAATGTTATGGACGTTGAGATACCCGATTGGTGGATGCAGTACTATCGGCAGCCAAATACATTAGTAAATGATGAATAAACATTGAAAAATCAAACTTTCATACATGTTCTATTTGTTTACACGTTTGATATAGAACAAAAAAAATGAGAGAGAGTGTGTGTCTCCTACTCAATGACATTGCATGTAACACATTGTCTTCATCCCGTTTCGCATTATCGCTGATGAATAAAACGATGACAGTTGTTGAGAATCCAGAGAGAAATATGTTTTCATAACTGGAGCTCGATGACATACGAAATTAATAGAGGTGCCGTCTAGTCATCTCATTTTTATCACTCTGATTTCCTTGTTAGTTTTTGATAGTAATAACCTTCGATTTCGACCGTAAAATCGCCATGTAATTTGCCTCGGCACAATTGTAATCAGTAAACAACAAAACTCAGATGTTCGGCAAGTACATGGAAATCTGAAAAACATATCCACAGGAAACTTTCAAGACTTGAATGATTATCGAGACACTTCAAAACCAACTATCATCAATGAAATGATAACAATTTTGACGATATCTTTGTATGTATTTCAATAGATTTAGTCAACCTAAATGGATAAGTCTGTATAGTAACACAGTAATAGTACGAAAGAGAAGGCGCATTGAAGCATCCAAATGTACCTTTCTTTCGTTTATATCATTTGTAGGTTCATTATAAGAATCTGTAAAATCTACACTAATATCTAATTCATATAGGATCTCCTTTTACTGTTTTTGAAAAAAGATCTCGAACGCATTACGTAGGCGCCGGATTATTAGATATTCGTAATTTTTCATGTTCATCATTTGTGATATAGGATCCATTGGGATGGGGGTGCTGTTTTTTTTGTACTTTAAATTCAACAAGTAGGAGTAATTATATGCAGGTACATTGATTAGACCCACACAGAATCATCTTATAATCCGTATTTTTTCTTAACTGACTCGATTCTAATACAACATAGAAATAGAAAATGACATACGAACAACGAAGAAGCACACACACACACACACGCACATCAAAAGAAAGTTTGTGGTTTTTATTGAATGGCTGAAGAAGAAATGAAATGGAAAAGTCTTAAGGAGTTTTATTCTAATTTGTTTTCTTGTACTTTCAACGACGTCGCATCGCATTGATAATGTGATTGCGTGGGTGATGATGATAATGATGATGGTTATTATTATTATTTGAACGAATAGTTGTTCGGTTGGTGAAGGATGTCGACGAATATAAAGAAGAAGATGAGGATGATGAAGACGACGACAAATCTTTAGTACTTGTCGTCGTCGTTGTAACTATTGAAGATGAATATTGCTTAGCGTGATGCATTCGTTCGAAGCGTGGTGCAATAAATTTTAATTTTTGACCACTCGTACTTGCTAAGTCATTAGTAATCGATGATGATGATGACGAAGAATTATTCTTCATTTTAATTATTGGTGTAGCTAATGGACTCGTTTGGTTATTGCTTAGGGAGGTTGTCAGAGGTTTCGCTGCGGCCGCGTAAGAAATACGTTTTGGCATCAAGATGTTCAGATTATTTTTACTATTATGATGATCATAATGTAAGGAGGATTGTTGTGAGTAATCACTACGACTAGCATCACTAGCGGATTGATACCCGTCATCTGTATCGGGTGTTGATGAACGATTTTGTGTTAATTTTTGTTGATTAAGAGTATTTTCGGACGATAAGGATACATTAGACGAGACATGAGTAATATTTTTATCGATATTCATCGATAATAATGACTCGTCCGTATTATTATTATTATGAAGAGAACTAATCTCTTGATCATTATCATTCTCATCGTCCGCTGAGTAAATTTGTTTCATCGATGGATAGAGTAACGCAAGTAACCAACTGGGTAAACACGTTGATAAATCGAGATCTTCATCCTTTATATGTTGCTGGATGAAAGACGATGAAGGCCGATAGAGATGAGAGTAAATTTCGGGTGAGTAGAGCAACCAATCCCAGCAGGCTGATGAAGATGTTGACAACATAGATGAAGACGGTGTCGGGCTTTGATTTATAGTAGTTGTGACGAGAGACGTTTTAGTTGGAGCAGCAATGACTGGGTTCCAATAGGTATTTGAGGTTTGGTGAGGTAAGGAAGATGATGACATCTCATCACTATATGAACCGGTGGAAGGAGTCACGTAATAGTCTGCACCAGTTACTAGAAAGAAAAAGATGAGAATAAAGAAATGAGGATGACAGTAAGCATAGCAAGACGTAAATGAAAAGGAGAAGAAAGGAAAAAATACACGTCGTTTTTAAGCAGCGCGCGTCGGGTTTGGAAAAAATATATAAGGAAAAATCCATAGGCGAAAAAAAAACGATTGAAAAAGAAGGGAAGGTTAACTCAAAGCTCGAAGGCACATTTGTTGCAGCTCATCTGCAAAACTCGGTCAACATTCATTAAAATGAAAGAAATTCGCCTTCGTCAATACTATTAATATATACAGATCGTCAGTCGATAATTGTGCTAATGACCAACTGTGCACTGTCATATGTATGGATGAATGTGTATACATAAATTGCAATCTCCCCATGCACTATTTGGATTACACAACATAACTTTTTTTGTTTTATGACAAGTATGAACGTACAAAGACAATTGACGCTCCCTCATCTTTTTTTCTTTTACACCACTATCTGTATGTGTGTCGGCGACCAAACAACGCAGTATTCTTTGTAATTATGAAGCGCGAAAGGGACGCTCGAGAAGAACGTTTCCTCTCTCTCTCTCCTTTTTCTTCTTCTTCTTTTTTCTTTTTTTTTTGTTGTTCCCGACACTTTGACAGCCTTTCTTCATTCTCGGCCTAACTGCATTCCAAATCACACAAACAAAAGAGACGACAACATGAAAACCCATCCGCAACCTACTACCTTAACAGGCACACGCATAGGGATATCAGATTTACAAAACGCACCATTCTAACTCGATTCTTCACTTAAAAGAAATGCTTATCCTAAGTGTAAATTCTATCAATTTGATATCTAGCACCTATTCATAAACGAAGTAATATAAGAAGACAAGTACAAAATGGATCCGTGTGTTTTCCATTCAACACTATATGTTAATCTGAGTATCATTGCTTCGAGAAGGAAAACATTTCTTTTTGAATATTTATTGAAATCCATTTGTACTCATTTCGTGTTTTTTAATACATCTAAGTTCTATAGTCTCACAAATCATTGATGCCCGTGTGTTTATCGATATGCTAACATAGAAATGACAATTTGCATCATTATTTTTGTATCGTATCGCTTCGTGTATTTTACAATGACACGTTCTTAATTATTAAAAAAATGCATCTTGCTTCTCTTTGTTTCTGAATTACTTTTGTCAATGTTTTTTTTACACTCTTGATATAACATCCAAAACGCATGACAAATCATGGTCATTAAATAGACGAATATCGTTCTCATAGACTACACAAATTTATTGCTTTGATTTTTTTTTAATGTATCTATTATCAGATACTTGTCTTACAAGGATAGCAGTAATAATCATTTGCAAATGAGTATAATGGCAACAGAGAGAGAGAGAGAAAGTAGTTCGCAGTCATCGACTCGTATAAATTATCGAGAGTATGAACAAAACTTCAAGATAATGTATACCTTTTTTTTTCTTTTTCTTTTCCTATTCGACTCGTTATTCAATCATACTCGAAAGACTTCTATATACAGACCGTATCTTAAAGTTCAGTTATGTCTCTTCTTTCTTTTTACATAAATCGTACTAATTCGATTTAGATTTTATCGTTGCTTGGCTGCTCTAATAGAACACAGTAGAGCGGTGCAGTAATTGCACGCATGAATATCTCCAAGTAACAATCATCTGATTGATCGAGACGATCAACTTGCATCGAGAACGATTCATTCAATTGAATAACTTTGACTAGAAAAAAACACGACTAACGTCAATGTTGCCTTCGTTTTCATCCAATATGATTATCATTCATTGCGCAAGATGAAGGAGAATGAGTTGACTACGAATGGCTACAGATAGGATGTACAACAATTTGTTCTATGACGTTTTCCTATTGCAGACTGATTAAGAAAACATTTCAGCTGGGCATCTATCTCAAATGTTACTGTTCTAATTCGTTCTGTTTTGTTAATTTTGATAATAATCAGACTTATGAAATGAGAAGAAAGGAATTGTTGCGAGAGAATGGAACAATGAATGGTCTATGTCTCAAGTGTAAATCAAATTTTCTAGATGAACATTTCTCTCGATTGTCTTCTTTACCATAAACATCATCAGCTCGATTTGAATGATATTGATTAAATGCTTCATTCTCATCGTTTCTTGATCCAACATAAGTGTTCGTTGTTCGATTTGTAGTCGATGGTTCGTTGCTAGTGCAATAATATGAAGTTGTCGAACAACTTTGTTGATGTTGCTGTGATGAAAGATGCTGGTTATATCCGAGCCAGCGTTGCTGTTGGTTCTGATGAGGATGATGTTGTTGTTGTTGAGGAGGGTACCACATCAATAGATAGATAAAGTAAGTCTATAAATAGTTCAGATCTTTTTTCTTTTCCAAATAATTTCGAATCAATCGTATCGCATTCATATGCTGGACAGCATTGACGGCTTGTCTAGAAGAGCAGAAAAATGAATAGAGTGAAAGAAAGTATACATGACGAACATGTACATGGCGATGGTAATCAACTGCTTCTTTCGTTCTCCTCTTCTCCTTCTTCGTCTTCAACTGCACAGGTAAAGAGAAAAGAAAGAATGACGTTCGTCAATGTTGAACCCGTCCGACCGTCGTCCACCACCGCTCTGCTGCTAAACTATTGCACACTGTTGATGGAACACGACCGACGGAAAAGAAGAAGAAATGGAAATGACATTTTCTCGTTACCACCATTACTGGCGTTTTTCTCCCTCTGCCTCTCTGTCTCTCTTTTTCTTTCTTGCTTTTCTTTCTTTCATCCTTCCTGATGAGTATTGTAGTTGATAGGGGGGTAGTAGCACCCTTATGGGTTGTTATAATACGAACGGAAGAAGACGAAGAAGGAGAAGGAGAGAGAGAGAGTTCTCGTTACTCATGTCATGCATCGAGCAGGCATACATAGTACAGAGCGCGAGGACAAGAGAATAAGAAACTTTGTGCGCTTCGTAGTTGCACAGAATTTCAACCCATAAAAGAAACGACAAGTAAACGATAGAATTTCGCCCCGTAGCATCAAATGACGCATATATATATATATATACAGCGTGGAAGAAAGAAATATGGTAGAAAACCGAAATAGGATAGAGTTGAAAAGGTTGTAAACAGTTGAAAGATGATAAAGTCACATATCTATATACAAAGGGATGAGCAATAACAGGTGTGAAAAAGCTCATCGATATGAGAGATTCAACTAACTATTGCTATATACATAGTGATTCTTTTTACAAATGGAGCACATCGGTGACAAGTCGGATATGTCGGAGAGAACAAAGAAATTTATCCATATGTAGTTTATCGTTGTGAACTCATTTGGACAATCCGATCGTGAATATAATCATCTTGTTCAAATATAATAAATGTTACCCTTGTGATCTGCTTTTTTTTCCTTAGTACGTACACGTGCCTATAAGCACGTTCAACATCATCCATCTGTCTGAATGTTATGTCTAATACTAATCAGTAGTAAATAAATCATACATACGTGCTTCGTTTCTACATTTATGTATGTTATATGTATGTACGTATAGATAAACTTCCTTCTTTTCCTCTTATCTACCTTTTACTTGACTGTCGTTTCATTGAGAAGTACACTTGAGACATTATTCTCCTAGGATGTCCGATTGAATTAATTCTCATGAGAAAAATGCTCAATCATGCTAAGTATCAGATTATGTCCAAATGGGAATTCATTTTTGATAAGCCAGATTGAGTGTCAATGTATGACAATCTATTTGAAACGAAATCACCATCTTCATCTCAATCGGACATATCTTATGGTCATCGATAGACATACTTTGTCGAATAATATTTTACAACGTTATCAATCATGAATAAAAAGAAAAGAAAGTCACTTTTCTATATAATTGAAAATGATTACGATCTATTGAAGAAAAAGAAAGAAAAAAGAATTTACTCTTTTTTTCTTATTTCTGTAAGCATTAAGTTTAAAGCATGGCGAGGACGATTGATTCTGTCAAAATATTGACACATAAGCAAGCAATGTATGCACAATCTGATTGAAAAGAGTAATGCATAGCAAATGTATACGTAAAAAGAGGGAGAAAAAGCATGTCTATGCATGTGCGTGTGTCAGCTGAGTGCTATTGAAACCGACATTTCGATGACACACAATGATGATTTCAGTGAATATGTATTGATGAAAGAGAAGAAAGAAAGAGAAAAAAAAACTCGAAGTATACTTTAAACTACATGATCTATCTGATATGATGTATGTATAGACATTATCTCCTTTTTCAGTACGAGTTTTATTGTTATGGGTATATTTATGTACTAGATTATGACCTAATCAACCTAGACAGACGAAGGCGAACGTAGAAGAATCTCATCAGGGTGTCAGCTGCTTTTTAATAAAGCGAAAGAAAAACAAAGCCGGTGTACAATTCATTTTTCGAAGGTAAAATAAACTCAGCAAGTATGAATGCTATCGAAATTCAATTTCAATTTGGACGTGAATTTCGCACAGCAAAATTAGAATCCGAAAATTATTTGACATTTGAATTCCTACTTCGTCTAATTCAACAAACATTTTCAACCTGTAAACATCCTTTTACGTCATTCATCTATGTCGATGACGATGGCGATCGCGTTACAGTTTCGAGTGAACTTGAAATGGGCCCATTACGAGAATTTTATTTTCGTATGTGTCAAGAACAATTATCTTCGAAGCCTATTCTCAAACTTCAACCTATCGTCAACCGCAATCATGCTAATTTAACAATCGATACCATTTCATCATCTCCTGATGATCAAAATAATCAAGAAAGAAAGAAATATGCCTATATGGAAGCTAACGTTGAACACATTCTTTCATCAGGAAAGATGTTATCTCTTGACATGCTGGAAATTATCGGTACAGGAAACAGTG